TATAAGATGACTTATATCTGAAATCCATTAATGAAAGAAAGGTTCCACGTATCTGAAATCAAATCAGCAGGTCACCTTTGGGAGATAAACAACAGAAAGATTTTCATCCATTAATGAATCGAATTGCTTTACTCAATAAATTTGTCACCAGAACAAATTCCCGTGACACAAAAAAAAAAAAACCATTACAAGCAATTTAAGATGACTAATGCAAAATGAAAAATTGAATCCCATACACTAGCATAAGAAACTTAAGTAAGTGAGAGTATCAACTGCATCATTGATACACTCCAAAAAATTCATGTAAGAGTATACTTGTAGTTGTTGATACACCCTAAATGCCTAAAGTCATACACTGCATATGAAGATATTTGGGTATATGTACCATGATAATGTTTCAAACCAAATTACCGGAAAAGTTCTCTCCTAAATAAAGTAAAATGTAAAAGAAGGTACTGAGAATGGATGTCTCTTTACATCCGGAAAGAAAAGACAGGAGCCACAGATGGACATGGAGATTGATCTTCATTTGCTATTTTTGTCTCAAAATAAATCTAACAAGGAAAATGTGATTATATGACTGTGAGAAATGAGGTCTTACACCCTTTAAGAATCCACATCACTAATCCACATCACTAATACGGCGAAGTAAGAAACCCAAGGAGCCTTCTAAAAAATCATGACCAACTGGAGCTTCATCACACATAATGGCAGTGAATTTTTATAGGATATCATGTCATTAGCACTCGATTTGCTTGATCTGCTGTCAACATTTATTTCGATGGCTTCTAAATGACAATCCACATAAATAAAAGGAGAACAAAAATCACTTTTATCTACTCTCAGGATTGAGTAGGCATGCACACCTGAATATGAGAAGAAACCAGGCCTGAATGCTTTACCACAAGGGCTGGTAACCAACAGATCAAAGAGTGGTTGGCACATGCAGAGCAATTTGGAGTAGATATTTGTCTCTCTAACTCATTATATAAGCTGAAGAATGAGAAGCAAGAGGAATAAATCTGATGAAAATTTTAATTTTCACCAGTCAATATCAATGAGCCTGTGTATTTCAAGTACAGCTATTATGCTATAATAAAGCTACTCTTCATTAGTTAATAAGATGAGAAGCCATGACATAAAGAAATAAAAAGAAGCACATAAAAAAGAGAGAAATAATAGGTTATATAAGTGAATATACAGCAATTCCCAGATCAATCCAATCAAATATGACATTAGTTCACAGAAAAGTTTTCAGAGTTATAGGTAAAATTAGCAAGAATGGTCGTGTGAGCATAACTTTAGATATTAAGATTCCAACTGGATTTAAGTGTTGCAAGTACATACATTGGAACTTTACATCATGCAATTGTCCGCCTACTAAGCTAAAGATATTATTCCTGCAAAACAGTTACAAAATTTTCCCTCATGGGCTATATAAATTACAGAAAAACAAAGTGAACAAAAATTATGCTAGAGATACAACAGGGCAACGAAAAATGGGTTTGCTTTTCTCCTTATCCCTCTTGGTTGGTTGGCAACTAGCCACTAAGTATGGTATTATGGATAATACTCCGCCCTCTTCCAATTCATCTTTTAAGGGGCATAGCTTTATCCTAAAGCCAGCATCCTGATCAAGAAGGCCACAAAAGAGTATCCAATAAATCACTGACACCCAAGAAAACTTATTTCTCGTTTTGGGAACCTTGCAACTTGAAGTTACTAAATCAATTACTCTGATAGACTCACGAGTTTTTGAAATGTTATTCCTAGAATGAATGCATATATATCTTCTCAAACAGCACTGGCCAGTCTTCTCCAAGCTTCTGTGGGTTCAATTCCATTGCAACCTTGAAATCAAGTAAAGAAATCAGATTATAGGATCTCTGTTCATCTATCCCTTCCAAATTCCAACTGCTATTTGAACCTGATTATGGTGACTTTTTGAGACACCAATAACAAGCTTCCCATACAAATGGTGCTTGACTGTGTTGTTTTTTCTCAACTTACATCCATGCCTGGTTCCTACTAACCCAATGCCCATCCTTATTAACCTCTTTAAGAAGATATCCAATCCATTGTTCAATATATTGGCACAGTCCACTGACACACCTCCAAGGCCCTCCAATGCAGCAATTTGTTGCATGCGTTCCCTCAGTGCCTCAGAGTCAAGCAATCCACCATATGACTTGGCATATCTAGCACTTCTTGCAGAAAGCAAAGCCCTTCAGGCCCTAGAAAACCTACCAGAGAATAATTGCATTCCATGTGGTGCTTGCAATGAACTTCTAGCAAATGACTCCTTTCCATATTTAACAACCAATACTTCACTTTGATCTCTGCTATCTTCAGAAAGAAAACCATCAACTGATTCCTTTGTTAAAGTTAATTTCTCAGGGTTGGGAAGCAAAACATCCCTTCCATTATCTGCTTTGTCCAATATTTCTTGATGATGCTGCACTGGCTTCCATATATCATTGGAAGTCAGATCCCAAGAACACGAAAACAAACCTTATTGAATTCAACCTAGCTTAGCTTTAAGCTCAACAATTTATTCAAATAATGAAAGTATTGTTTCGATCTCTCAGGCCCAATTCTCTTTATTAACAGAGCTTTCAACTCAATGAGATTGATCTGCGAATGCTGATTAGGTGGTTGCATTTTTCACCCTAAAAGTCCATAACCAAAATATTTGACCAGAAAAGGCAGACACATACACTTTCCTTGAACCCCAAAAACTCCAATTAAATTAGGGTTTCGTTGCTCCATTTCCAATAACCCACTTTCCATCACCCTACTAAAGATGTTCCACTAACTCCAGAAAGACCCATAGACACCAATATAAAACGCATCTCTGCAACCTAGAGCAAAGCTTTCACATAGTTAAAATATTTAAACTTTGTCCCTCCAAAATTCCATCAATAAAATTCAAATCACAACCAAAAAAAAAAAAAAGCCATACTTGAACCATATCAACAAAAAGAAATCCTCCTTTATGTTTCTTCTTCAACAATAGATTTGGCCACAAAATCCATGAAAACAAGCTCAACCCACTTCATGAAAATCCCCACTTTATTCAATATATAGAAACTAATAGCAAACTACCACCTCAAAAAGCAAAATACTATTACGAGGATCAACAAAGAATTTAGGGTTCATGGCCAACCTTTCAACTATAGTTTGAATTTCATACGGAATCGAATACAACAGAGATTGCAAAGGAGATATGCGATTCCAGAGAAAGTAAGAGAGATTTTGGAAAAGAAAATTTTTTGTTATTGCTCTGACCTGTTTGGAGCTCGAGAAAGTGGAAGAAAATTTCCCCGGATAAGAAAAGAAAATATCGTTTTGCTATCTTCCTTCGAACTCGAGCTTCTTTGTCGTTATATCTTCGCTTTCTATTTCTCTCTGACTATAAATTTTTGCTGCGATTTGAACACATTTTCATCTAATCTTCTTTTCCAATACTCTATGAGAGGTTTTGAGTTTGAAATCAAAGATTTTTTCATATTACCCCAATTTGAACGATTTTCTTATGATTCTTTCATCTTTTGTTCTTTTTAATTTTTTTTTCAAGTTTTATAGTGTAGATATTAATATTATTACTCTGTGCATATATTTTGGGAGGAACTTCGGGATAATTTCAGGTCATTGTAAGGAAAGTGAACACACGCTTTGAGTTTAGCATGCGAAAAACACGTGTGTAGAGCTTATTGGAGGGCGTTGTACACGCAAAGAGCATGAGAGTAGGTACTCACGGGAATTGAGGATTTGGTAGTACCGATAGCAAATAATTTTCGAACATTGTACTCATTTTTGGCAATTCCATGTTTTTATTTTTTGGAACAAAACTTCTACAAGCAGCATGATTGTAGGTTTTTTTTTTTTTTTTTTTTTTTTTTTTTAAGTTTATTAGCTTTTCAAACTTATTTTGAAAATGAAAATATATGAACAATCAACTGAACCGTCGGACGAATTAAATAAAAATTTTTATGAAATGTAATAATTGTATAAAAATGATCGCAGTATACATTGCCGGTTTTGGTTAATGGCCTATACCAAATGTCTCAAATAAGAGAGGACTTTTAGAGTTACGACTATTAATTTCGTATTGAATAATATTTTAATTTTTTTAAAAAATATTATATATATATATTAATATCAATTATTTTGAATTTTTTGATTTAATATAAATATATTTATAAACATGCAAAAATTTACACATTATACTATTATTAATAATTTACAAAATAAATATATAATATATTCTAAAATTAAATAAATAAATTTAAAAACATAAAAAATAATATCTAAAATTTTTATAATATTTTTAAATATTTAATCTGATCATATAATATTTAAATAATTTTTTTCATATAAATATTAAAATAAAAATAAAAAGATAAAAAAAATTAACCATAACTTTATAATTGTTAAACTTTATAAAAAGAATGTAATTACTTTCTTTAAAAAAATTGAAATACTTATAAACTTAGATTTGAAAAAATATATACATATAAAATTATAAATTTTAGTTTAAAAAATTAAAACATAAAAAAAATTAAGATATAAAATAAAAAACTTAATTTTTAAAAGTTATTTTACCAATTAATTTTATTTTTATTAAATTAAAAATAATTAAATAAAAAAAATTAAAAATTACAAAATATATTTTACATTTATGTCAAAACATACTATTTCATCAAAATTTATCAAAACAAACTAAAACTAAGGAAAACATATGAAATTACACGGTATCAAATTTGATATGAAAAATTATTCTTAAATATATCCTATTTTAATATAACTAAAATGTATCAATCAATATGGTTCTGAAACGAAATTAACAACTATGCTTTGAGTTTGTATTTTTTTTGCCAGTACATGGCTGAAAACTTCCTTTCTAATCCCAAAATATATGCTTAGGACAACTCTCATCTTAAATTAAAAATATTGTAGAACAATTTAACACCTTACTATATCTCAACCAAGATCTTCTATAATCTCACAAATAAAAGCAAAGAACTTTATTACCAAACTGGCAAACTCTAATATATCGCTTGCACAATTCTCAGGGAAATTATACTACATTAATAAGAAAATGCACTTCAAAATGAAATAAAGGAATATTTCCTAGTAACTAAACCCTAAACGGAATGAGAAAAAATTGGAAAATAAAATAATGGAAAGAACCTGAATTTGCAAAATTACCATACCTTTGGATGAAATTTGCAATTAATGTTGGCTAATCGACCGTGGAGCCAGTTGGATGGAGAAGGCCTAATTGGCTGTGCGAACCCAATTGCTGTCTTTAAACTGTACAAGAGATGCCCAAGGAAAAGCCAGTATTCAACCACTAAATAGTACTCTTCGTGGGTCGAGTTGTCCACTACAGTAACTGGAAGGAACAGCTGAAATCTCCTGCCTTCCTTTCCATTCTTCACCAGGTTTCAAGGTGATCGGCTTCTCCACACAAGCAGCCTTTACGCAAAGCATATGCTTGTACTCATCATCACCGAAATCAGCCATTGACTTTGCTTTCTTATCCCAGGGATTCCACACGACTGAAAAATATAGGAACCAAACTGTAAGTGACACATCTAACCACGATTTACATGCTTATCTGATAATGTAAAATGAACCATTCAGTTGCATAATTTAGTTCATCTTCAGCCCTAAGTAAACAGTAAATTTATAACATGTCCAATCAAAATGTTGTACAACTAAAACAAAACTAGGCTGCTTTGTTTGCAATCAATATAGTAGTATAGTTCAATTAGAGCTACAAATGAAACTTTGACAGTTTCAAACATCATTTGTATGCATACTGAAATGAAAAAACCAAGACCATAGCTCCATCAGCATCAGACCAAAGCTTTCTTGGAATAATACAAAACTAGATATAAGACTTTATATTAACAGCTACATATATAACTCAATTTTTGAAGCCCGTTGTCCTTCATTCTACAAAATTCAGGTTATGCAAGTAAATTTTCCTCCATATACCATTCAGAGAAACCTTGCTTCTAAACAGGGTAAAAGAATAGAACTACTTTGAAAAGGAAATCTCAATCAAGGTAGATTTGTCGGAAGGGAAGGATGTCATTGAAAACAATCCTTTAACGTGGCAAATAAAGTAATAAAGAGAATTTTGGTAAACATAATACTAAACAGATAAACCGATGTTGTTATATTAGTCGCTCCAAATACCATGTCAACTGATTCTAAAGTTGTTAACTTCCAAAATGAAGCACGGACCAGAGATAAAATGATTTTATCTCCTATCTATAATACACCTTCTACCATAACCCATCCATAAGGCTCTATATTAACGTGGAAGTGTATAGAGACAATCAACTCACCAGCATCTGGAAGTCCATCCTTTCGCAACACAAATGTTCGCTTCCTTTCATGGTCTAGGATGGCAATTTTAGTTGGTGTACTGAGATATACTTTATCCACCTTTTTCATCAACAAGACAGTAAAAATAAAACAAAAAATACAAATTAGAATTAAAAGGACAAGGAATAATAAGCCTGCTTATAAAAAATTGACACTAACTTCTGATTCAAATATTATTGCATCCCCTTGTTCTGTGAACCGCTCTCTGTTCTTCAAGTTATCCAAATAATCCAGTGTCTCTAGTCCTTCTACCCGCACTTCACTAAATAAAAGTAAATAGAAAAAGAACTGTTAAACACAGAATGAGTATTGTCCTAGCAAAGTATCATAATAGCAACACCTAGAACAGAGTTTTTTTTTTTTTGTCACTTAAAAAGAAAACAATTTTTTCATTCCATCAGTAACATAAACGTGTTATTAAAAGGTGAACCAAATAGAACTTGCTTCTAATCATAACTTAATTTAGCTAGACAACATTTCGAGATAAAATCATAATCTGTTACAAGAATATTTGTAACATCTATGTGAAATAATAAAAAAAATCCATATACCCAGCACATAGAAGACTGTAGCATGCATGACCATAAATCATATGTGTAAGTAAACCACTAATGTTCTGAGCACAATTTTGATCTCATATTTATACTCCTGCTTTTGATCTCATATAGGGTGATTTCATCATTGAATGTTCACCAGTGATTGCATCTCACACTGCTTTCAAGACTTAAAAAAATGGTAAACAGCATTGTTAACTAAAAGATCCTACAACTGGTAAAATTACAATGTATAATACCATGTTTAAATGCAGAGATTCTCATGACTAAAAAACACAAGATAGCAAGATAAATTTATTAACCTGATATCAGTGACGAAAAAATGGGTGTGATAGGCAAATGTAAATGTAAATGACTTTCCATCAGAGTTTGTATTTCGGATGCGAGATGTCAACATCAAATCACCTCCAGGTCCCAGGGCTACCCTTAACCGACACTCATACCTGCACATAATTGCATATTCCTTAATCCAAATGACAAAACTTCAGTAACAATCTCACACACATAGGTAATACCCTAATTGTACACACCACGTACACAGACAAGTAACGCACAAATGTAATTAGTCAATCCAATAATCCATTGGCCAAAAAAAATCCATAAATCCACATACACACCAGTACCAGAGCACATATAAGATTGATTTTAAAACTGGATATGTTTTAACTCTAAAACAGCACACAACCTAATGCCATAAATTAGAGAATTCTTTTTATGACAAAAACACGAAATTTATAGAGGACATAAAAAGCATCAAAATCTGGTCCAGACAGCAGTTATTTCATGCTAGTTTAAAAACTTTGCTTTAAAGAAGAGCTTTGAATTGAAATGCCAATTTAAGAGCTGTGTTAAATAAATCAAAATTCATGTTGAGTACCACACCTGTGAGGCCAGATCTTCACGTCTTCTTCAGAGTGCCTGAGGATTAAATCGATGAAGGTCCTGTGAGAAATATTTGATGGAAATGGTGGGGGATTAGGATCAACACTCCAAGCTCGATTCCTTGCAAATCCATGTTGCTCAAGAGAACCAATATTTCCGAACTGTGTAGAGCAAACAATTGAATTTGGAAACAAATATAGAAAAATTTCAAAAACAAACAGATAAAAGTATTGAAGCACATACTTGAGGAAAACAGATTGGTATACCTCCACGAATAGCTCTAGGAGGCCTAAAAGTAGCCTGCGGAAAGCAGACACTATTAAATGAAAGGGCAATCATAAAATTAGGTAGATCCATTCAAACTGCTAGTTTTCTTCCTTTATAACAAAACAATATAGATCAATTGTTTCAATTAGGAATTCTTTTGTAGTTTCAGAAAATTTAGAAACCTCGTTTATATCAAAAGGTACGTACAAGTGACAGTCATTTTGACACTCCCCTCCTTCTGAAACTAACTGACAACTCATTTTTTTTCAAAAGTACTTTTTGAGCACTAACCTCTTCACCTAGAAGTAGCATGAAGTGTTAACCAAAAACCTAAGAAAATACTATAACTTGCAAGTAATTAATCACCACACTGCAAAATCAATGGGACTTTTACTAGCATTTAGTTGCCTAAGTGGGAGAAAATGATAACAGCTCTGACACCAACAATGTGGTAAAGTTTATTCCATGAGCTATTGCATGTGCATTCTGAGACCATCTCTAACTATGAAAGGTAGATGATTAATAGCAGGAGAAGAGGTAACTTTAATTCATTTAAATTCTTAAGCTAAACAGCTTCTTACAAGAATAATTCTAAAATGGATACCTTACTACTAAGGAAAAGCAATTCTTCCCCGAGTTCATTCTTCCAAGAAGTGACTTGGCCTCCATAAAGATATACCTGTTTAAGAAAAAAGAAAGTAGAATGAATACAAGAAATTTTGATTGTTTCCTAAGTGTATATTAAGTTTTTCAGGTTAAAAAGAGAAGAAGAAGAGGAGGTCGAGGAAAGAAAGAACAAAAGCGCTATATTAAGTAGCATTCATGACTTCCTCAATTCATGAAATAGGATTTCAAGAACAGTAATTTCACTTTTAAGCATGTTTAATATAAGAAAAAAAATCAACAAAATTGAACATATTCAAACAAACCAATTCATGTTCAGACTAATTCTTATCATTAGCAAAAAAAGGTAAGGTGAAATGTTCCCATGATTATTAGGAACTGGTTAGTTTCTATACACCTGCATTGGAGTTCGGAAACTCCACAAGCTGATTTAATTGATCATCATGTGTACATTTAACTACATATGTTAACTTAATAATTCAACATTGGCTTCATTATTTATCATCCAATAGGAACGTGGTAAGCATATTAACTCACTTGTGGATGTTTTAAACTCCCTCATTAGTGTATAGAATAACAATCTTACTAACATTCCTATCATGACTTACCAATCAAAGAAATTGCACATGCACAAATGCATCTCGGTATACACTAACAAGGAAAAAGAAAGATGTTCTAAAGCATCTTATATATATTTCTAAAACATCCCTTACAAATGGCATAAACTCTTTCCGCTTTAAAACATATCACAAGTTTTTAATGTGCCAAAGAACCCTACGAGTACTCGTCCTGTAAACACTCTTGATTGTTCTCATATGTAAAATAATTTCTCGCATCATCTCAACAAAAATGTTCCAGAAGGAAAGTTTTCAAAAAAATAAAACTTAGTACAAATAATTTGTCCCATCGTCTCAACAAAAATGTGCTTAAAACTACACCTCAAGTTTGGTTTCACAAGAACCTTTCGTACTATTTCGTCCAATTGATTAATACATTTGAGGCTCCTTTCTCTTGATATCGTATTTCTCCTTCTCTTCACCATAAAAAAACATTCTATCTGTTTAAGACTACGACGAAAGATTGAATTCTTCTTAGTCTAAAGTCAACGCAAACTTAACGAATCATCATAAGATTTATTAAGCAAAACCTTTACAAATTAAATCATCATAGTTTCATTATACAGACAAGCAAAGTAATCGGAAGATCCAAATCCATAAACACAAAAATCAACTGAACAAATCACGCAAAACTATTCGAAGAAACGGTAATTTTTACAATGCGGTTGATATTTTAACACAGATTTGAAGATTCCGAACTAAAACCACAACAATCATTTCGTTCCAAAAAACAGATACAAGAATAATCGGATAAGAAAACGCAAACGAGAGATCGGAGAAACGAAAGACACAGAAAGAGTACGAAAGCGAAAACCTCAGCAGAGCAACCGCGAATCTCCCTTAAGATGACCTTATCGAGGCCATTGACGCCTTTACAGTGCTCAACATGCACCTTCTCTGAAGACATCTAAGGAATTCTTGAATTTCTTGCTTGAGATCGAATCGTCCTTTCCCTTTCGAAAAAAGGATGGAGAGAAAAGGATAAGAGAGCGAGAAGTGGAGGATTTACGGAGGGCTCTACTAATTCAGGAAATATATCTTACGACAATGCTTTTGCCATTTTCTTCCCACTACTAACAAAGACAATGCATTTGCCTTTTTTTTTTTTTTAATTATATTTTAATCTGTTTCATTATCCAATTTTTTTGGTAAGTTTATTTTATTTTAATTGGATTTTTCTTTGTTAGGAAATGACGGTCCGTGCATGCGTTACTTTGATGTATATGTATTCCTATTTACAACCTATGTTCTTTATGTTTTTTTCTTAATTCTTATCCTTTTATATTTATTTTATTTTGTAAGTCACATTATCTTCTTAAAAAAGTGTAGAACCTTAAAATTGTTTTTCCTTTGATTTAAAAGGCATATATTTTTTTGAAAAAAAAAGCATATGTTAAAACTCAATTTATTGGCAAAAAAACTTAAATTTTTCATTCAATTTTATTTTTTAAAAATGTCATAATTTCATGAAAATTAAATACTAATAAGACATTCCAAAAAGAAAATAGAAGCATAAAGAAAAAAAAAACAAAAAATGCATGTTCCTCTATAAGCATTTCACTTACATTTTTTTTACTACAATTTTATAATTATGTAATTAAAATAAAAAATTATATAAAAATTCATCATTTATAAATATGAATTTTATAAACAAATTTAATCAATTTTACATAATTTTAAATTATAATTGAGTAATTACATTTTTTTACTACAATTTTATAATTATGTAATTAAAATAAAAATTATATAAAAATTCATCATTTATAAATATGAATTTTATAAAAAATTTAATGAATTTGAAATAATTTTAAATTATAATTGAGTAATTGTGTATGTGATATGATTTTTACGTTAACCAAGTAAATTAAATAAAAAAATACATTGATTAAAGAAATTAATAAATACATTAAATAAACAAACTAAGGGTCTAAATAGATGTAAGAGGCCTACTAATTATATATATATATATATATATATTATCTTTAAAGTAGAAAATTTTCTTTTCATTTTCAGCCTATAAAAACTTCATTCATATATGGGAAAATTACATATGAATCCTTTTATCATGCCCTGAACATAGAGAATTTCTCTCTTTTATATTTAATTTCTTTCTCATCCAAATGCATACATGAATTATAACTAATCTACGATGATATTGGTACTTTAAAATGAATGAGGAAGCGTAATCATGTTTAATACGAAGAAATAATCATGTTTAAATTATCTTGACTCTTCAATTAGAGGATTCAATTTTTAAAAAGGTACCTTAGTAGTTAGAAGTTAGAGTTTTGAAACTACATCATAGAGGTTTCTGTTGGAATTTTAAGAAAATGGAATGAAAGAAAATTATCCTACATTTTGTACTTATAATAGCTTTGATCAGGTGCAATGGTGATATTATTTTTTATTATTTATATAAATAATTACATAAAATAAATAAAATAAATTTATAAATTTATTAAAACGACATTTTAACTAAAGATGTTAATCTTATCTATACTTAATGGAGAATTTAATTTTTTATTTGAATGGGAATATATATTATATTGTGGGTATAAAGATAGAGATGTGTATTATATTATAGGTATAAGGATGAAAATGTGTATTATATTGTAAGTATAAGATTGGAATTGATATAATTTTAAATTTTTACTGGATATGAGGATGAAGACAAATAATATACTACTTGTCTCGTACTTGTATCTTTATCCTATATATATTTATATATATTTAAAAAATAGATTTTTTTATTAAATAATATAAATTATTATTTTAAATTAATTAGAATTAATATATTTTATTAAAAAAATATATATGTTAATAAAAAATTACCTAAATATATAAGATAAAAATAAAAAATATTAAAAAATAAAAGTTAATTTTTATTTTTTTTAAGTTATAAGTATGGGTATAAAGATTACCCATATACATTAAATACACACAAGAATAAGAATGAGGATAAATTTAAAATATTCGTTGAGTATAAATATCGAAATGAGTATAATATAAAAATTTGAATATTATGATGAGAAATGTTGTACCCTACCCTAGATCCATATCCTATCATTGACATCCCTAATTTTAACTTTAAGTTTTTGAGTTTTAAATATAATTTATGTATTTCTTAATAAGAAAGTATTTTTCTGTATTGGGTAATAAGTGTAATAAATACTTTATATTAAATATCATTATCTTCATGATTCAACTTGTAATGTTTGTCAAGTTCTGTGAACCAGAATTCCATGTTAAAAAACATGTCCCACTTGCATATGCCTAATCCTTCATTACACTGAGTATTTGGTCGTTCTCAAGATTTGAAAATTGAGCCATTTTTTGCCATCTAATCATCAGGCTAAAGTGAAGATTGCAATTGATTTGACCTGAATTGAGATTTGTGGAGTCGAATGACGATGATTAACAGGCATTCATTTCTTCAGTTTGCAATTAAAAAAAAGTAAGAAGCAAAAGCCTGAGTATATCAGCATTTTGAAAAATTGGAACATCTCATTATGGTAGGGTGAGTACAAACCAAAAATTCAAATATGAAAAGAACCCAAACTTTCCCTCTCGTCTTATCTACTCAAATCATGGTTAGCAGGAACCACGCCGAAGTGCAAACCATAAGGATGATGGAAGCAAGATGATTCCCAGAAGTTACAGATACAGCAGAATTTTTATTCTCAGAACCTGGACCATTAGCAAAAAAACTGGTGCATTGCTTGGGTTAGGAGGGGATGCAGCTTGAGACTCCTTACTACTGGGACCTCTTGCTAGGGCCTTCCTCGGAGGGGAAGCAGCAGGAGGTTGTGGTGGAGTATTTGGGGAAACCGCGGGTGTTGGCGAAGGAGGGGAAGATGGGGTAGTTGAATTTGAGGCTACGTTTATCATATCGCTCACTTGCGATACTGAAATGTTATACGGTTGAGACGAAATCGTTTTAACCTAGGTGGAATCGAGGTTAGAACCTGGAGTAGCTGATCCAAAAGCCACTGGACCATTGCCCACATGAGTCACATTCAAGAAACCTTGTTGGTTTTGGGCTTTCCCACTTTGCTGGTAAAGTGTGGTGAGGCTTAATGTTTTAGTTGGTAAATTTTGGAGCTTCCATGCATCATAATAATCGAGTATCACATGCACGCTTATGGCCTTTTTAATTGCATCTGTCGATTGGCCAGAAACTAAGGACATTTTATCATTGGCAGCAACGAGGACAGTGATGGTTTGCTTCTTGTTGATTTCACTCGCAACTCCGCTTTGAATCAATAAGTTGTTGAATGTGGTGAAATCCGGGTGCGAGTCGAGGATTTTAGTGATGTTAAAAGCACCTGCTGCTGATAAGAGAAGGGAAAAGGAAAAGAAGAGTGCAAAGACTGGGAGAAGACATGAGAGCCACTTGATCTAATTAACAAATGCGAAGCTGGAGTACGGACAAGGGTTACAAAAAAGGATTTTATATCAAAACATGTGGATTCAAATTGAAGTCTATATTTGTAGGATTGAGTTTATTCGGCAAAATATGCGGGCTTCGGTTTGGTCAGGGAAACAAAGAGCAGATCGTGGAGGTTCTTTTCAATTTTGTAAAGCCAGATGCCAGTTCCACACCATGTTTGAAACTTGGCCTTCTAAATACTGTAAATTCTAAACCTTATGGGAAGACTATCAGATGCCTCAATATCCCTGAAGCCCTTAAACTTTGATAACAGATCAGATCCTGTCTTCTAGCCGTAAAATCTACTGCATATGGCTATCCATTCTATTGAATCAGGTATACTGTATCATCGTCAATGCAACAACTAAATAATGTTAATCAATACAATTGGTATATAAGCAATATGTCAGTACTTTTCTATTTCTAATTGAATCTGCAAGTAGGTAATATTTTACTTTGGCATAGCTCCTCTATCAGCATAATTTCAAGCCAAAAGAAAATGGTAAAAAGATCGGCCGTAGTATTATGATGGATACTGCAAAGTCTCCAACTCTAACAGTAACAGGTAAAGCCACCAAGCCATTGGATATCAGTATCTGGTACAGCACCATCAGCAACAGAAGGGCCAGGACAACCTGTTGCACTATCTGGTTTGGTCCAGCCAATAGAAAATTTCCTGTTTTCAATGTTGAGGTCTTATACAGAGCCATAAAGGCTTCGTCATGCGCTCGAGGAATCAATAGAAATTTATGGGTGTCTTTTCATGCAGGCTGGCTCGTCGGAAATATAACATCAGGGCTGTTTTATTCCATCGAGAAGTTCAATGGATGACGGTACATATTAACTTTCAAAGGAAGTTTCAAACTGGCTGTTTAAGGAGATCAAAGTCCTTTATTCATAGTAAAGCACTGAGCATACATTACACATCGATAGACTTAAACAGGAACTTCACTTCAAAGTTCACACCAAACTTTATTTAGGACCAACTAGAGAGCCCTTTAACTAGTTGATGAACCACTACCAAACCCAGAACCAGGACCATAACCAGCTCCAATCCCAACGAGGCCACCTTAAATATCCGATTTGGTATCAGACATCCTGCTGCAGTGCCTAGAGTAGCCACTGCATTAGTTAGAACCGAAGCAGATTCGGCTGCTGCAGTGCCTACGGTAGCCACTGCATTAGTTAGGACCGAAGCCAATTCGACTGCTGCAGTGCCTAGAGCAGATCACGACTGATTCTTTGCCATAACCCATCCCGGATCCAGTCCCATAGCCAGAACCGGTATCATTCCTAGTTGAAGACATTGTTATGAATATGGGTATGAATTGTGAATATTTTGTTTTGTGATGAATTATTCTCGATGACATTTAACCCTATTTATAGGCAAAGTCTCTTGAGAGCCTTTGCACTTAAGTGGATTTGTTCAAATAATTCACTTTTTGTTGGAACCAAGCGACAACTACAGGAATTACGAAATCCCAAATACATTCGTACAGCTATCAAAGTTAACAGCAACAACAACGATAATAAATTACTAAATAATATAAAAGATAAAAATTTAAAAATAAAACGATATCAGGATATACGTGTAAAATTTTTTAATATAAAAAAAATTACAGATGAATTAAATAAAAAGTTACTATAAAAATAAACAATTACAAAATTTAATACTCAAAACTTTTCGTCTAAAATTTAAAGTCCACATGAAATAAAAAGAGATGAAGTTTTCTATTTTTGGAATCACCAATTAAACTATTTAAAGAACAACTAAAAATTGGATGAACGCACGCAAAAATACTTATATTTCAAGCAATCTGATTATTTTGGATTTGTGGCTATATTAAAATGTAAAATTGAAATTTAGACATAGAAGTTTGCTAAAATGTCTCAAACGGCAATCTAAATTTTAGATAAAGAATATTGATGGATCGCTCTTTACAAACATTTTAACGTCTCAATCACTCAATTTCACAACGTTTTCAAAAATAACATGTGAGTTTTAATTTTAGATAAAAATAAAATACACAGGTAATTTCATTGAAAATAATTAAAATATGCCACAGGAGTTTAATATGCTTAATTCTGATTTGTCCTATGATATATATATAATTATTTATCACTTATATTTAAATATATATATATGTGTATTATATCTCAAAAAATATCATTTAATATTTTAAAAATTAATTTAATAAGATATTAGATTTATATATAATCAAGATATAATTTATATTAAAATAATATTTTTATAAAAATTATATTAAATAAAAATAATTTGATTAATTTTAAATCAAATCAAATCTCATACAAATTATATATATATATATATATATATTGAGTTGAATATAAAAATAATAATTCAATAAAATCCGATGAAACTTTAAAGAAAATATAATGAAAATAAATTAACCCAACCGCTTCGTTAACATCCATACGCCTAATTAATCAATTTCGAAAATAGAGAAAAAAAATTTTCACTACTTAAAAAATAATAAAGTTTATATAATTTTATTTAACGGTAAATAATGTATCTTTATTTAAATTTATAGTTAAAATTTAATAATTTTAATTTTAATATGAAATCAAATAAAAATTAACTAAAAAATAATTTAAACAAAAAGAAAAATGATGTCATTATTAAGGGAAAAAATTGAATGAAATCCGATATTTTAGTTACTCTTTTCATCCTAAATTGTTTAGGCGATATTGAGTTTAATGTTGTTAGTATTAAAATTATTTTTTATATAAAATTAAAGTTTCATTTTTTTAATGTTAAAAAATAAAAAAAATATATATAATATTTTAAAAATATAAAAAATAAAAATTTTAGATGTTAAAAAAATGATATAATTTTGAGATATAAAAAAATGGACAAAGAAAATGAAAGAAAAATAGTATATTTTTTAATAATATTAACTAATTGATTGGAGCATGATTAATTAATTAATTAATTTAAACTCTAAGATTGAGAATACAAAACATCATTTACTAATAAATTTATTGTCTCTAATTTTTTTCTTTTATTTTTATGAATTTCATAAACTTCATTGATGACTATTTTTATGAAAAAATTTCATTGATGATTATTTTTATGAAGAAATAAAAGAAATTTGAAAACATAAAATATGTTAACATAAACATGTAAATATTATAGTAAAAGCAAAGATTATCAAAGATTATAATAGGAAAAAATTAAAATAATATATCATTTCTTTCTCTTTTCATTATTTAACTAAATAATAATTATTAGGATTCATTTATTTTCCTTTACTAATTTTAACTATCCAAATAAAGAATACATATATCATTTTCTTTCCTTTAAGAAACCTTTTCTTCTTTTAATTTACTTTAATTTCCTTTTTTTTACTAATACTTATCTAAATATAATGTTAATAATTTTTTAAAATTTCAATTATGAATTTAAATAAAATTATATTATTGATCATTAAATAAATAAATTAGTAAAAACTTGTATTATTTTAAATAATAAAGAAAATATTTTCTCGTACTGTAGAGATGGACCCTCGTATCGTAAATTAGACAGATTTTCTCTCTAGATTTGGATCAGCCTCACCTATCACATGTTTTGATTTGTCGGCACCTTTTAGATGTCGTGATTCATGAGCTCATTTCATCAACGCCGTGTTTGGTTCATGAGAAAACCAAAAAAGATCAAATTTAGTAAGATTGCTTAGTTAAATATGGTAGTTTTCCATAAATCCAAGTCGATCGAAAATCATTTACTTTGATAATATCTTTTACTTTTATAGAAGTTAAAAAAATTTATGAAATTTAATAAGAATAAGCAAATGGTGTTGGAAGATTTTACTAAGAGCCTACCTAATTAAAATATTATTTTAGAAAAAATTACATTATTTTTATTAAATTCATGAAAAACAATACATCAACGACGGTAGAATACTAGCATTTGAGGAAAACAAAACACAAACGGTACCAAATCGATGAGTAGAAAAATATCCCTAGAATTAAGGTTAAGGCTACAACTTATTATATGCAGATCATATCCAGAAAAGAAAATGTATGATACAAACAATATGGAGCGATTGATAGTTATATCATGTCTCTTGCTCATATTTGTTTCTATCTTCTCTTTTTTAGCATTCGTTAGAATCACATTGTTTAAGAAATTGGTTCTTACTTCCATCCCCAGCTGCGGTTCGAAATAAAATTACACCTGAAATTCTAAGGTTAATCTGCAGCGATAGTTGAAGAAAGAAGAGTGGAAGCAGATGAGCAAAGTATTTCAGAAACTAACCTGAGCATTCTCTGTTTTATATTTTTTCACTTCTTCCTGGGCACAAATGAGCCTACATATTATAGCAAACCAAGGTTTAGACAAAATTTTTGTTTTCAGATGGTAAAATTATGAAGGAAAAAAGAAATCCCATGCACATGATATCGAAATACCTCCATTGTAACTCAGTTATTTCATTAAGTAACTCCTTCTCCCTATCATGGGCTACTTCCAACTGCAATAAATTGTGTAAAGTACCAAACTCAGGATCATTCATGCAAGCTCCAAGTCTTGTAGTTCCATGAGGGGATTAAAAATGATGTAAGATAAGGTTGAATGTGTTATATATAGCATAATAATGTATTCCAGTTGTCTACCATGCATTTAGCTCAACATTAATATTGAGCTTCACAATCCACCATCACCAAATATTCCCTTAAGTTGTCAACAACCCAACTAAACTCATCTACCTTTTTATCCCAACTAAAGATCTCACCTGTATGCCAAAAGCACATGTTTCAATTCATGAAGATTCACTAACGTTTACTGATAGAGCCCTATATGACTTACCAAAGATTTCTCTGTGACAGCTACATTAGCTGGCTTGTATACTCCCTCACAAGCATGGTTGGCTAAGTAATGAAAAAAAAATGAAAGATCATATAATTTGGATTTATAAAAGAGAGGAATAGAAGGTGTAATTTTTGGGAGCATTAATTTTAGCACCTATAGAGTCACCAGCACAAATGAACTTCATCAGATTGAGAATATTTTCCTGTTGACAAAAATATGCCAAGTAGAGAGACATTAGCTGACAGATATAAAGTAAACAATGCCAACTATATATGGCTAACCTATACCCTTTGAACAATGTTTGTCTGCAAAAAGGACTGCAACAATGGAAAAAGATTATTGGCAGCAAGAGTTGATGATGCGGCAGCAGGAGTTGATAATGCAGAATCAGATGATGGTGCCAGTGAAACTATAGGATTTGGGGTGAGCACCTGCATAACCCATAACTTTGACATTATATAAATTATAAGCCATAAAATAAGAGTACAGATATGTTCTTTTTTCCAAGCATATGATGTATTCGTTGTCTACTTGGATGATTGAAAAGCTATATACCCTTGTTTTTCTTTTTTCTCAGATGACCAGTTTCTGCTTAGAGATTATTTTGGTGAACAAAAAAATAATGTAGTTCTCAATTAAACAGCTATAAAATATTTATATTTAAGGATCCAAAAATTGCCAAGCATGATAACTATGCCAAAACCTTAAAAAATCCTATCAGAAATTAATAGTAAGTTATGCAACTCTGGAGAAAAGGTTCATCATCTCCATGTTGATGCTTGAATAAAGCACAAGCCCGTCACATAATGATTCAGTATGGGCTGTGACTTTTCTGTGTGACCATATAACTTCTTTTATTGATACTTGTTAGGAATACCTATTGAGATACAAAAGCTTGTAAGGAATGCAAGTCAATCTCTTACAAATCAAGTCAAATACCTAATCATACATTTACCACGCAACTATAAAATAAGGTGCTACAATTGGGTCTAAAAGGCAATTTGGCACACATGTGCTGACCTCCGAAGTACCAACCTGCATGCTGTGACTCTTTTGCAGTACAGGAGATGGGACAACCTGTAAAGAGAAGTTTAATACATATCCATTACAAACAAAAGAAGCAACAGCCAGACCAGAAAGATCTAAGTCACCTTTTCTAAATCAACATTCTCAGAGGTAACTTTAAACCGTCCCCTTTGCTGAACAACAGGTGGCTTTGCTTTCTCATCAAGATCATCGCTGTTCACTGCTGCAATGAACTTTATTATTGGGGAAGTAAATCAACTTGAAATAGCAGGAGAGCATAATAATCAATTATCAACCAAATCACGAAACTTGCAGACTGTTTTTGGACAACATAAGTCAGAGAGTTAACAATTAACACTTGCCTGATGATTTAGATGCCTTAGAAGGAAGCTCAGGAATAGTATCCTCTCCTGCAGGAACTGCCACTCCATTGCCAACAGAAATGTTCTGGGGCTGGTTTTGCTTATCACTAAAAACTTCATAAAATGAGTGCCACAGAAATATAGTATGATAACTCTATACATGGATGACAATAAACATATTAAAAAAAATAATATTACAGTTAATATGTCAAAATGCAGAGGCTGGGATGATAGTTTAATACAAGTTTAGATATATGTTTCCTGATATCTAAAGCTTGCACCTTGTCCAAATGTTCTAGCTTTCCGATTCACACAACCCAAATCACATTGGCGTACATAGATCATAAGATTTTGCTCTTTTTCTATCAAATTGGAAGTCAAGCATCTTTGATCCCAACAACAAACTGTGATTTATAATAACAGTATCACCTCTAAGATAAAAGCAGAAAAGCATGTTTTATCTCATAGAGACAGCAGGCAATGAACAGAGTTTATAGAACAAATCCTTTGTAGAGGAAGTTGACAAAATGACACAAGCAAATTAAGTTGCCTCACTATTGGTGCAACATATAAGTAAGCATCATAACCAAGCAAATTGAAAGAATTATGTAGGTAACGTATCAAACCTTTCTCCTTTAATTAGAAGAACATTGGTTTCTGCTATACAGGTGCTCCCTGAAAATGGTGCTGTCCTTTGATGAGAAGGATTGGTCATATTATCAGAAGATTTTCCATTGATCTCCAAAACAGGCTTTTCACCGAGATTACTTTCAGCAAGATCATCATGACAAGGTGAAATCACATTCAGTTCATGAGAGGGACTAGCTGCACTTGAGTCATCATCAGATCTTTCAAGTCTAACACTGGATGATCAAACAAGGACATAATTATTTATATCACCTTCACTAAATGAAGCCTTATTCAATGTATGAGACCTAATGTGACAATCATGGTGAAAGATACTATTGAAAATGTCGTTCAGCACAAGCATGACTATTGTATGCTCTCATAACTTCCTATACTTGGACAAAAGTGATTAAAAAGAGAAGAAAAAGTGTAATATAGCATGATAGTCAACTATCTAAATAACATACTTGGCAATATTTATTGCTGGTTCAACTGCTGCAAAAGGAGCTGGTTGATTCTGGACCCGGTCATTATCCTCCTGCAGAAGCTAGACCATCATGAACCACCCAAAAGAGATCTTGGAGAAAAGAAGAAGAAAAGACCAACCACAAGCCATACAACTACAAAACTAATAAAGACCATTTTCCTACAACAAACCTGCCAAAAGAAGAGTATATATTGAAATACCTTGTCTGTAGCTTGAGAAGAGGTCTGAAATTCTGGGTGCTTATCTTGTCCATCAAGTGTAGACAACGAATTTGAGCTTCCTCCTTGGGTAGTGTCAGATATAAGGTCCTCATCCTGAATCTGATGAAGAGAGAAAAAGCATATGATAAGTTGTAAAAGTAATTTAAAAAACCCTAGAAAGTTTCACCAAAAGGGAAAGGAAAGTAACCAATACTATACCAGGGAAGCCTGAGCTTTCATATCTTCAAGATTGAAATTCCATCCACTTATCCCACGTTTATATTCATTCTGCTCATGATTACAAAAACACAGACAAATCACGAAATTAGATCTCGAAAATCCCAGCCAGTAGACATAGTCGTACAAGATATTACACTGGTGAGCAAGAAACTAGAACATCAAATCTAGCATAAAAGGAGAAAAATACATATAGGTGAAATAATAATTCATAAATTAAATATACACTTTCTCATTGCCAATCACAGATTCACTAGTATAATATTGTGGTCCAAAACCCACAGTCTAGTATTGACTTCATGTAATCATGAATCTAACCAAAAATTTGAATTTAAAAATCATGAGATAATGATAGCCACTGTAAAGAACACAGATATAACTACACAAGAGCATTACAAAGTCAGCTTGTTTCAATTAAATTTTTGAAAGTTCAAACCTGTGAGAGTTCTTCCTTTTCACCATCAGGCATTTTCTTTTGAGCAAGCATATCTTCTTCCTTTCTCTGTTTTTCAAAATGATAGCAGTTGTAACTATAAATAGAAACTGAAACATAATGTAAGGCTTACCGATACAAAGTAAGAGCCGTATTCCTAAAAGTAGCATGCTAACCTTCAATGCCTGGATACGGTCACCAAGAGCAGGCAATCCATCTAGAAGTGTCCGTGCTATATAATCACTTGACCTTGCTTGCTTGAAAAAAGAATGTTTTAGTAACTTCTTTGCTGAAGGTCTTTTTGAAGGATCTTTCACCAAGCAGCTAGCAATCATTTGCTTGAAAGACTGGAGAGAGATTATAAACACAAGATGAATGCATCATGTTATCTAATTAAATCCAACTACTAAGAATGCTGGATTGGTTAAAAGCCTACCTTAGAAAACTTCCTATCTCTTTCATAATCTAGGCCTGGAGGTGCGTTTTGCAAGGTCATAAGCAATACCTAAGAACAAGAGATAATGCTTTACATCAGAATAACTTTTGATGTCCAGTAAAGGATTGTGATTGTGTCAAGGGGGGTCAACTATCCACCTTCATTGGGGGATATTTAGAGAATGGAGCATGGCCATGAGCAAGCTCTAGGGCAGTTATACCAAACGACCAGATATCAGCCCTGCAGGGATTTCGCAAAATAAACATCAACATGATGCCACCTAAGGAGCATGAATCAAAGATACTTTTTTTGAGAAAACAATAGACTGACTTGCAATCATAACCATGCAGTTGCTCCATAACCTCAGGTGCCATCCTACAAAAAATGGAGAGGAAATTAGATCATAAATGATAAGAAGCATTGAAGCTTTGTCACTCTTACAGGAAGAAAATACTGTCCTTTAAGTCCAGTGGACATCTCTTCAAAATTAAAATGCTTTATGAATAGGATTTGGCTAATTATCCCATTATTTACATTTTTGTGGATTAATAAGGAGATACCTAGACTGAGTTAATCACAAAATTATTGGGCACTCAGGATTCTTATCCAGAACTAGGAACTCAATGGAATGTAGACATGATAACCTAAACATACCAGCAAGGTGTCCCCACAAATGTATTCCTCATGCGTTGCCTATCACCTGAATCAAAAAGGCAAGCCGAAACGCCAAAGTCTCCCAGCTTGATTGCACCGCGTGAGCCAATGAGAATATTCCCAGCCTATTCGAAAAGATCATCAAAGAACTAAGAACCAAAGTATTTCATATTTACATAAGAAACAACTATTTAAGCTTTTATGAAAATTAATGGAGTTGCAACCCAGTTATCAAGATAATCCCCTTGTTCTAGTTGCAATACTAAATAACCAACTCAAATAAATATTGTTGAAATCAAAAACCTCTGTCTTAGCAGAAATATCATCTTCGCTTACCTTACTGATTTTTGGTATGTATGTAATTCTTAACTTGCAAAAAAAAACTGCTCAATTATAGAGAATTCGAGATGAAATAAACTCAATCATTAAGAGCTTGGTTTAAAAACCCAAGGATTACACATGTTGAGATAAATTATGCAACAAACTGTAATAATCACTAGAAGTAATAGCACTCACAGAAGCTCTAAATCATGATGAAGACCAAGTACTTACTTTAACATCCCGATGTATGTGCCCATGATGATGAAGATACTCTAAACCTTTCAACACTTCACGAAGTATTGTTGCTATAACCACCTCCTCAAAACCATCAGGATATGCAGCCTTCAGTATATGAAGACAAGATCCCCCAGCCATGTATGGCATGACAACCCATAGATTATGATCACTCACAAAGGAGCAATGTGATTTAAGAACATTTGAATGGTCAACCAAGATCATTGTCTGTGCCTCACGAGAAATGTTGTTCTGAAAAAGCACATTATGAGAATAATATCAAAACAACTAGTAATTGTTTTTAGCTGAAGCCAAACAGGAAGAAAAAACAAAAGTCCTTCAAAGAAAAGGCAGAACTAGTATTAAAGACTTTGGAAAAATAATGTTTTGATACAAAAGCACTCAGCCAAACTCAAATTATACCAGCTAAATTGCATTAAAAAAGATTTGCTCCAGCACAGATCCTATGAATATGATGGATCTTTACCTTTAATTAATCCTATGAAAATTTCAACAAATTGATTGAATTTGGAATGACCAAATGCACTAGCATTTACACCACCTATTAAGGGAGAAGTTTCATTGCTACATGAACATGGATCTGTGTTCCTTAACAATCACCTATACATGCTCTTCAGCAGATATTAACAGCCAGTATCAACCTAATCAAGAAGAAAATGCTGAGCAAAGCTCAAGAAGGTAATCAAAATTGTTTGACTACCATAGCAAAATGTTAACTAACTATATGCTGTATTGACATGAGAAAAAACAAGGCATAAACTTTTAATTTTCAAGCGAGTTTAGAAATGGGCCCCATTAAAATACCAATGCTTCTTTTTCAGAAAATAGAATCTCAAATCGTTGATAGATCTACAACAGAAGATATTGTGGATCTACAGAAATCCTATATCAGCTTTTGATAATCACAAAAAGAAAGCAACGGTATCCTTTTTAAGTTCTTCAAAGTAGTTCATCCCAGTTCAGCATAAGAGATAAAGGAAGCAGAGAGGAAAAGATAAAAAGAAACAACAGTAATTTTTTATGTCCATTCGGTTTGACATAACATTTAACCCCAATTAGATAACAAATGAGCAAAATCAAAATGCATAGGTGAAGATGAACCAAAATTTGACCCCTGAAAAGGAAAAAAAAACCCTTAAAAGACAAAACCAATAGCAGAATTGGGATGAAGGAATTACCAGATCACAGTTATCACGTTCAAAATCAAGAATTTTGATTGCAACAACCTCGTTGAAGGGTATACAGACAGCACGGCGAACGGAAGCACTAACGCCATGTCCAACCTCCTCATGCAGTGTATAATACTCCGGCCCAATTGGATACTTCTTCTTCTCCATTATAATTTAGACCTCTCCTTCACTGTCATAAAACAACACAAAAACACAGCTTTCAATCTTCTTCCAGTGTTAAAAAACAAAACTTGGCAGGCACTCTCAAAAGGGAATAACATAAAATTCAAAGCAAAGCCATAATAATTAATAATAATAAAAAGATTTTCAGCTTATTAGAAGCTAACATGTACGTTGAAAAAACAATGCGACTAATGGAATCATATATAAGTTAAACTCAATTTCTCTTAAATAGCAAGCAAAGGCGGCTCAAGTCTTTAGAAAGAGATCCCAAAAGGAATCCAATTTTAATAATATAATAATAAACAAAATCTCATATTCATTTATATACCATATAAAACAATCAAGCCCCCCACCCCCCCCCCCCAAAAAAAAATCAATCAACCAACCTGAGATCTATTGAAACCCTCAAAAATGTAGCAGCTGATTAGAACCCACGTCCCACAATCAATAATAAAATTCCTCTGCATAAAAGAAACAAAAAAACATGAGGCATAAAAATGTTTAAAAAGAAAAAACCCAAGAAAAAGATGTGGGTTTGAAGAGATATTTACAGGGAGAAAGTTTTTAAAATCCATGAAAGCAAAAAGTTGAAAGGAAATAATAATGATTAATGTTCAATGTATTCATTCAAGTGAGAGAAAGAGAAGTGAAAAGAAAGGAAAGGGAAGGGAAGGGAAGGGAGGCATTGCTGAGAGGGAGAGCTTCTCGTTGTTGTTTGTGATGTGTTTGCTTTCTCGTGATAGAAGGGGAAAGAGAGAGAAACACCGAGGCTTTCGGATCGCCGCTCAAACTTGGAAGCAAATTACGTTTGCATGCAAAATCCCGCCACTTGTTCGCCTTCCTTTTCTTTTTTATTTTTCTCTGCTCCTTTTTTTTTTTTTTAGTAGGGCGTCGAAACCCCAAAACACGGTGAATTTAATTAATACTATTAAATTATGAATGATATCCATCTGCGGTTTAACCATCAATTAAATTTGGTAAATCGTGTTTTGTTTTTTTAAGTTAAATATGCATTAAAAATAAAAATTATCATGTTAAATTCATATTAATAAATTTAATATAAAATATATTTTTTATTTTTATTAAATTTATATATTTTGAAAAAAATTTTAATTATATTATTTATATTTATTATTTATATTATTTTTATCGTATTTAACGTTATTCACTATTTTTTTACAAATAAATATTTTTTAAGAGTTATTATCATAATTAAATATTATATCTATATAATTAATTAAATAATCAATTATTACATTACAATCAAATCATAATTATTAAACAATCAATTAATAAATTAAAATATAGTTGATTATCAAATGCATACATAATGAGACTTAACATAAAGCCTCATTTTAAGCTTTTTTTTTTGTTATTAAATCAAAGCTTTATTTGTGACAAATAAATATAATTACAAACAAAATTATAAAAATATTTATAAACATGTATAATTACAGGGGGCAATTGCCCTCATTAGTATATCTTTTAGCAGAACTTTTGCCTTACAAGCATTAGGAAATCCTCTAGAAAAACAGATTAGGAAAAAAAATCCATATCGCACCTTAACTTTTGTTTATGGTAATTAAGAGAAAATTAAGGAAGGGCAAATAAGTCATTTAACAATTACTCTAAAAAACTAATTAAAAACCCCAACAATTAAAATTTTAAATTTAAATGGAAGAGACTTTGAAATTAGTTCTTTTTTCTTAACTAAGGCCCATTTACTAACAATAAATAAAAAAAATACTTTACTAACAACAAGTATTTTTATATTAATTAAAGAATTACAAATATATATATATATAGTATATATATATATATATCTTTTATTCAAATGTTAATAATATTTAAAAATTTTACGCATTAAAATCTTTAAAAATTTATAACTTTTAAAATTATAATAAATATACATGTCATTTTAATTAAAATTCAATAAATATTCTATATATTTTTATGAAGTTATATTTAATGTATTGTGTATAAATTTTATAACTATCAATATTATTTCATTAATAAAATAAATCAAATGATATCGATTTATTAATGAAATTTTTTTTAAAATTATTAATTTTTATATATTTATTTTAAGAATTAATTTTTACTTATTAATGAGTTAAAATAATTTGATTTATTGATAATATATAATATTTATATATTAATAATGTATCAAATATAAAATTTATTTTTATTACGTATCACATATTTAATAATTATAATAATGTCGTTATTCTACCCAAATAAGATTGTACCTTTTGGATGCTTTTGAATAACTCAATTTAATAAAAAAAATATAAAAAGACAGTAAATTTGCATACAAATTTAATCAATCAAATTCTTTGTTTTTTTAATCACGAATAAAATAAATAATAAAATCTTAGTCACGTGCAATGCAGGAGGCAGGTGAGACCCAAACGGGAAGGCAAAATCTAGGAGCTGCTGCCTCATTCTCCCCCTCGCTTCCCTTTTCTTTCTTCATAATTCAAATAAATAAATAAATTAAAAAAAAAAAGGCTTTAATCTCTTTATTCTGATTCTTTCTGGATCCCTATAAAATCCACTTTCTAGGGTTCTCTCTCTTGTTCTGTGATTCAAATCCCCATCTGAAACGCTGCCGTTTCATTTTGCCCACCTGCCCTTCCCTCAATTCGCCGAAATGAAGCTCACCGTCAAAACCCTCAAAGGCAGCCACTTTGAAATTCGGGTTCAGCCCAACGACACCGTAATCACCTCTCTTTTCTTCTCACTTTCGCTTTTCCTTCATATTTCAATTATTTTGTTATTAGGGCTAAAAATTGGGATTAAAGTTTCAAATTTTTATTTGTTTTTTTATTAGGTTATGGCTGTGAAGAAAAACATAGAAGATATACAAGGGAAAGATAATTACCCATGCGGGCAACAGCTTTTGATTCATAATGGGAAGGTTTTGAAAGATGAAACTACCTTAGCTGATAATAAAGTCTCCGAAGATGGTTTTCTGGTTGTTATGCTTAGCAAGGTAAATTTTTTTTTTTTTTATAAAAAGGTTGTTTTCTTACTATGTTCAGAAATCTATTAATTAATGTATTTTTATGCTTTTTTCATAGTGTTTTTTACTTTGATAGTTAATTTCATATGTGATATGATCTACAAGATGGGAATTTGATGAAAACTTGTTTTGAGTAATATAATTTTTGGATAGTTTCGTTAGTAGCTAAATGTGGATGGTTAATTTTTTTAATTGAATTGATTTTAGTGATGAATTTACCTAATTGAAGATGGGATTTGATCCGAGCATAGAATTTGTTAGTTAAGTTCACTTGCTTGCACTTACCGATAGCAAGCTGCCTTGGTTGTTTGAATATTATTACCAATGTGGGCGTTATATAGTATTGTGGAGAGGCTTTCATCAAAAGCTTAAAGCTTCATTCTCTAAAGCTTGAATGAATAACTATGTTTGAAAGAAAAAAAAAGGAAAATTTTGATAACAGCGTGGAGTGTTTCATGATTGCATTTTTTTAGCTTCCTTCTTGAACGGACTAGAGTAGTTTGATATCTTTGAATGATTTTAGAATTTTCTGGTTTAGCACGATATATGCACTTGTAGTATTATTTACATATTTTCAATTCTTTGGATGTTCTTACAGAGCAAGTCCTTGGGTTCAGCTGGGGCCTCTTCTGCTCAGGTGTCCTTATTGATTTTATTGGTTCTTGTTAGGTTTAGCATTTGTTCCAGTTTCATGTCTGTATATAAACTACTTTTTCCTTGTCTTACCTGACAGCCTACTTCATCAACTCCATCGACAACTGCCCCTGTTTCTAATCCTACTCCCGCCCCAGAAGCTCCTGCAGAAGCACTGTAAGTTCATTCTGCAATTTTTCTTCCTTCATTAGAGCATGCCCCTCTCCTAAGACCAGCAGCAGTCATCTAATGCACATATAAAATCTTTCATTCTAGGGCCTCAAAGGGCACCGTATCTGCTTCAGATGCTGCAACAGCTAAGTATGTGGTGTTTATCTCAAAAAGCCTGTATATCAGGTCAATAGATGCTTGAAATTATGTGCATGGATCTTACACCATTAAATGTCATGATAGAATAGTATTTAAAACATCTTATGATTAGTTTTTGCTTACTGAGGAATGAAGATAATAAAGTAGGAGTTGTTAGGTGGTACTTTGATCACCTTTTGATTTATATTTCCAACTTCTGGAAAGAACTTCTAGAAAAAAAAAGTCTGAGTAGCACTTATTGTTTAGATTTTGCAGGCCCCTTCTTATTCTTTTTGTTTTCTTTGTTGTATTGGACATAACTAACACTTATATAAGAAGATTTCGTCATTTCATTACTTCCTTATATATATTTTTTGCAGTAAAGGTCACATTATTTCAACCAGGCTGGCTCCATAAGAGCAGTTTTGGTCAACAGAATTGTAACCTGTCAAAAAAATTTTCAGAACTCAGCAGTACAACTGTCAACTGAAAGATAATCACTTGATTTTCAGTTTGCTTTACTGATTTGAATTCTTATTATCAGTTTGTTGTTGTAGTATGTAGTTAAATTTTTTATCTAGGATTGTATCTGTTAATAAATAATGCTAGGTGTATTCTCCTTTCTCTCTAGACATTGTGAGAAACTGCCTGGTGTTATCTGATTAATCTTTCCTTCTTTCATTATTTGTTTCTTGAAAAGAATTTGTATTGAGGCACTCTCTCTCTCTTTCTCTCTACCACACCTCCTCTTTGGTGTTTTCTGAATGTTGTGAAAGTAATGGGGAAAATTTTATCTTGTTGCAGTCCAAACACCGATACCTATAGTCAAGCTGCTTCCAATTTAGTTGCTGTAAATAATCTTGAACAGACTATTCAACAATTGATGGATATGGGTGGTGGCAACTGGGACAAAGAAACGGTAACTCGTGCACTTCGAGCTGCTTATAACAACCCAGAACGAGCAGTGGATTATCTATATTCTGTATGTCTGAAACTTTATGATTGTATCTAAGGCTAGATTCTAACATTAAACTACTCTATTTGTTTGGATTTGGTTATGATGCTATTTTATCATCAGGGGATTCCTCAATCAGCAGAAGTGCCTGTGCCAGTGGCTCGTTTTCCTACAAGTCAGACCACAGAAACTGGTGCAGCCCCTGTTGCTCCTGTTTCGGGGGCTCCTAATTCATCGCCTTTGAATATGTTTCCTCAGGTAAAACCTTAGATTGTTGATGTACTTCAATCACAGTACAAATTATTGTTAGTTATTTTATGCGCTGGTTTTTATTTCTTATTCCTACCATGCTGAAATGATACTAGGAAACACTTTCTGGTGCCGCTGCTGGTGGACTTGGATCCCTGGATTTCCTCAGAAATAACCCACAGGTGTAGTCTTGTTATATCATTTTTGTTCATTTGCTTACTCTTTAACTATGAATATTTTAGTTCTTTGACATATGAAATAATAAGTGCATCTTTGTTTACATTTTAGTTCCAAGCATTGCGATCAATGGTGCAATCAAACCCACAAATTCTACAGGTTTGCATTTCTATTTTTTCACTAGGTAAACATAACTGCTTTTATTGTTCTGGATTTTAATCTGCTTCTTCTCTTACAGCCTATGCTGCAGGAGCTTGGCAAGCAAAACCCCCAGCTTTTAAGACTAATTCAAGAGCATCATGCAGAGTTTCTTCAGCTAATAAATGAGCCTATCGACGGTTCTGAAGGGTGAGTGCTTATTGGATATTGCCAGGCTATCTATGCAGTGACTTGGCATCATTTTTAATATTATATTAAATTGGTGTTTCAGGGACATATTTGATCAGGCTGAGCAAGACATGCCTCATGCTGTCAATGTTACCCCAGCAGAACAGGAGGCTATCGAACGAGTATGCAAATCAGTTGCTATTCTTTTTCTATTTTATTTGGATCCTCTCTAACTCCTCTTAATAATTGTATATCATTTTTGGTTTGTAGCTTGAAGCAATGGGATTTGACAGAGCCCTCGTCATTGAAGCCTTTTTGGCTTGTGATCGCAATGAGGAATTGGCAGCAAATTATTTATTGGAAAACGCTGGAGATTTTGAGGATTGAAGGAGGAATTTGACCTTATTTGATTCATAGTTTTGGTCGACTTAGATTGATCTGAGTTATTTGTTGACATATTTACTTGGGTACTGTTTGGGATTAAGCATGGAGACTAATGAGTGTTTTATCAATATTGTTTCTGATATAGGATTTAACAAAATTCATTTTATTTTAGTTTCACTGAACATTTCGTGGAGTCCAAATGGCATTCGCAGAACATAGACAAAGTCAATTTACAGCAATGATAGAAAAATCAAGAGGTTCTTAGGAGTAATTTTTCTGCAATAATATCCAACTTGTCTTTGGAGACTTGGGATGCAAATCCATCCCTGATCGCACACATATACACACGGTCAATTTATTGCAATAATGTTCAACAACTATTTTTTTTGAGACTTAGAATTAGAATTCCCTATCTGGGAACAGGATAGGAGCAACGAGAGACCACATGTAGAGTCCAGCTGTTGTCCACCCAGTTAAAATCCGGACCCACACAGATGGCCACCCCACATCCACTAACTTCCCGCTCTCCCCAACTGAGGTTGACCATCCTGTCAAAAGCATTGCCGAGTACATACTTGCAAGAGAAAAGATGATGTGGAAGAAGGCGTACGAGTATGTCACTGGCTTATTCTTCTCCTTCTCTTCCTGCTCATCTGCCTTGTCCAATGGAAGCAAAGGCTTTCCGGAACCTTCACGCATTCAAACAGAAATGTTAGATTGTACTCTTTAACCTATGATATTTTTGTCTTTTCTATTTTTACCCTCAAAAAAGGTTAGCAGCAACAAGAAAGGTATTGAGTCATAAAGAGAGAGAAGCTATTCCCAAATACTCAAAATATATGTTAACTTTTAAGGAACATTAATTCTTTTACTAGTGAAACCAAAAAGGATTGTTGGACTTTGAACTACCTACCCTCAATTCTCATTCCAACACCGTGAAACTCATGGACAACTCTTGGCCCAATTTTAAGAAAAGATAAACTGAATAACCATGAACAGTTATTTTGATGGTATATCGTGCATAAAGGATTTAATTTTTTTTTTCAACAATACCTGCACGAGGTGAATTTGGTGGGGAGAGCAGAGTTGCAGAAGATCCAGCACGAACAGCAGAATAGACAACTGATAGGACAGTGGTAAGCAGACCAACGGTCACAGTGCCAGTAGATATTGCTTTAGAATGATTGTGAAGACCATTGCATTTATAATCTCTTGGTTCACTTGCAAGTCCACTGTAGCAGAGGTACGTGCAGTACAGTGATATAACTGAAGCTGGCAAAATGCTACCACCAACCTGTTACATGACAAAATAATAAGAAAAGAAATCATCAAGTTATATGTATTAGAAATGGGGAAAAAAAGCATCTCTATAGATTGTAGTAACTCGTGTAAATGCTATTAAATATGGGAAAATAAATAGTGATAAATCGTAGACAATATCTTTTTCTTTCTAAATGCTAGTGATAACAGTGAGAGATGAGACTTCAATATTTCAATTTTATGGAACACTCGAAAGAGTATTTTCATAAGGTTTAATATTAAAATGGTTTTTCCAATCTAAGCCATCATTGCAATCAATTCATCAATACCCTTTATTTGCAATAGGTTGACCTGTGGAACACAAAAAACATGTTTGTATCCACACTAATGATCATCCTATATTTGAAAAGGTAATATCTAGTTTATCAACAATAGGAACGGTATCAAAATTCTAACCAGAGCCACCAACTCAAGCTAAGGCCAGCCTGCTTTCCATTAATGGTATATAATCCACAAGAGAGCTAGCTGTTATGAATGCAAGAGATGAGAAATTTTGCACAGGGTGAAGTCAACTTTACTCCAATTAATGTATTAACTCCTACACAGTTGTAATCCACAAACACACAAAACTAATTGAATTGATAATTGATGAACTATTATGATTATGAAACCCCAAAATTAGAGACTTACTGCAGGATGCAGTGCAACTATGGCAAACAAAATAACAAGAATCAAGGTCATCACGATAAAGAAGGTATTGAGTTCACAATCCTGTCCAGATGGTGTGAACCAGTGGAAGAGAAGTCCCGAAAAGCCAAATGTCGCCAAATAGCAAACAAGTGAAACAACAAACAGAGCAACATACCTATAGAGAAAAAAAAGCATGTCATCTATTCAGAAGAATACAATGAAGTGATACCATAAAAACATCACAGAAGCAAAACTAACCAAAACTGTTCATCGTAACCAACCCATTTGTCATTCCACCCATGAACAAAGTCAAGTAGAAGCACAACTTGAACCAAAAGAAACAGTCCTGAGCCAAACTTTGATATGGTCTCTGCAAATGCAACATTTAAGTTTCAGCTTAAGTCAAACTAGATGTGATTTTAGCCAAATTATTATTTCCTCTAATCATTTGCATATGCTCTGTAAAAGAATTATCTCCTATAGCATGTAAAAGATTTTGAAAACAATGATATTCTTAATTTAGTAGAATGATCCACACACAATGTTGCTTACCATAAAAGCTGATAATCTCATTTGGAACAAAAAACATTAAAATGACTAAAATGAACCAGCAGATAATTTTCATCATCCATCCACCATGGTGCAAACCATCACGAGGATCCCTCTGATTTTTCACACCAATCATCAAGAATGATAGGACAGTGAAAAACAGAAAATTTCCCAAGCTAACCCTCAACACTGCATCTGTTTCAAACCATTCCCTGTTGGGTGTTTTATGAAAATGATTGATCCCTGCATAAATAACAATATCATATTAACTAAATCAGCAAACTAAGTATACACAAAACACAGACAACAAGCTCACTTTTCCCCCTCAATAAACATGTAAAACATTATCCACATGAAACTTTGCCACATATCAATAACTAATATCAATCTAATATGGGATAGCATTGTCCAGGAGAAATGAGGTATGAATACTGGTTATCAAGCACTCAAAGGAAAATGCGTAAAAGGACAAGCTCACAATTCATCCAGGAAACAGTTTTCATTCAATATACCAGAATCATAGCACCAGACATGGTGAATGATGGTAGATGCCCAGATTCATGTGGAAAATCGGATCATTCTTCAGATTCCCTAAAAGACCCAATACATTAAAAGAGCATGTTTAAAATGCATTTAGCTCAGTGTAAGATAATTCTCATAAGACAAATGACTGTGGTACAAAACCAAAGACAAAAGAATTCGACTTCCCTGCCCATTGAATACGTTAATGCTAGGATACTATTTACTATTTTACAGCCGCATTCGCTCAGTTCAACATAAACCAAGATACCGTATTGAAATCTTAACACAAACAAATTATGGTCTGAATAATAAATAATACAAAGAAATCAAATAAATTTAGCAAAAATCAAATAAAAGAGACAAAATTGAACGAAGCTTACAAGGTAGGTTCTCCATCAGAGGGGCGGCAACCTCACGAAGAATCCACGAAACAATCAGAGAAAGGGCAAATAGTCCACAATAGGCGATCCTTGCAGACCTCCGGCTAATCCCCGAAACCACCGTGCGGCACGCATCGCAGGCGCACGCCGCACAACAAGATGCAAGGCATGAAGCAGCCCACATCTTCTTCAACCACAACAACAATCAATTAACCCGCCAAACCCAAAAACCCTAACTACTGAAATAAAAATAAAACAAAAATTAAATAAATGATTAAATTCTGCACATAACCTAATTGTTGAAGATTGAATCGAAAAAACCCTCGAAATCCTTTTCGACCTAAGACAAAATTTAATTCATTGTGTCTTACCTGAGAAATTGAGGGAGATAAGGTTACGCGTATGCGGTGATCTCTGGAGGGCAGGAAGAATATAGGAAAAGACTCGAAAGACAAAACCTATAGTCCAAAGAGGAATTGGAATTGCTTTATCAGTCAGACTCCAAAAGCCTAAATCATATACGGTTGTTTAGATATTACAGTTCCTGTGTCTATGATCAAAACCGTTCGTCTACCTTGATGTTTTAGGATGAACGGCTTGGGTTGTGTTTTGTTTACAATTTTTTTATTAGGCACAGTGGATAAATGTCTGGGTGAGAGAAAAAAATTCAAAAATTAATTGGAAATGTAATTTTCGATTTGATTTGGATTAATTGTTTTATTTGGTTTAAATCAAATTTAAATATTAAATATATATTAAATTTGAATCAAATTTTAGATCAAGAGATAAAAAATTAAAAAAATTGAATTATATATATTTTTAATTTTTATATATATTTAAATTTTTATAAAATAAAAATAATAAATTTATATCAAAATTTATTTAAATATATTAAAATTTTATCTTAAAATAATATATAAAAATTAAAAATAAATAAATAAAATTAATAAAATTCGATTAATCGAATGAAAGTTTGATTCGAATTTTAAATTTTTACATAATTATTAATATTTAAAAAAATCAAATTGAAATGCTAATAATTGTATTTTTTTATTTTATTTTTTTTCTTATCTTTTTAATTAACTTTGTGATCAATGCATTTATTTAATATTTTTTAGATTATATTTAAGTTTAATATTTATAACATATTATATTATAATTTTTAATTAAAAATTTTAAGCCAATAACCATGAATATATTTTATCTAACCATAACATTTATTTATCGTAAGATAAAATTAAATTTTTAAACAGACAACGTTAATTAAAACCAAAATAAAAATGTTACAATTATATGAAGGAAATCATGTGTAATTCATAACAAATCATAAACTTAGTTCTGAAAAAATAATTAAAAAAATGAATGAAATTAAAAATAAAATATGTTTTACATCTAATTAACAATTATAACTCATTGAAGAATAAAACAAAATTTTGAGGTAAAATTACGCAATATAAAATTGTGTTTGACAGAAAATAATCAAAATTAGATGAAACGCCAAATGGGAGGAGAGTGGACCGCACTTCACCTTTCACACCGTACGCGGGTTTTGGTAAGTTGTAAATTGAGATGGAACGAGCTTTGGACGTTTCAAAACGTCCAATTTTGGCCCAATAAAATGCCTTCCTCTTCGAAACTCTCTCGAGCTTCTTCCCTCACCCAAAAAAACAAAAAAGGAAAATAAAAAATGCCTTTATTCCTTCATTATTCGTGACACACTGGCTAATAAAGCACTTCTTTTTTGTTTCTTTTCTATTATAACGTCCCTTGAACCGTGACATAAGGAGAACACAAAGGAAGACAAAGGGGAGAAGAGTGATTATAAAGAGAACACATCGACAAATACACCCATTGTTTGCTTCTTCCCTTTGATTCAGCCTTGTTTTTGTGAACCGTAAGTTTGTTTCTTTTTTTTTTTAACTGTTTGATTCGTTTACAGATCTGGGTTTTGTTTAGTTTTTAAGGATAGAGATGGGGTTTGAATTTGATGTTTGGCTGATAGAAATATGCATTGTTTTTATGAAGGTTGTCAATTGTTTCTGGTGAGATGTGTTTTTCATGTAGATTTGACACGATACTGAGGCTTTTCTCTTTGTGGGTTTTTAAGGATCTGAGTTGATAGCATGTTTTCGTTAGCGGGATTGAGGAATAGAATGGAACTATTATGATCTGACTAAAATGGGAACATTTTAGGTCAAATGTCTGTCTTATTAGAAATAATTAAAGCAGACATTAGTTTTCAGGTGAAAGGGAAACTAAAAATTTATTCTTTATGATATGACAATTGAATATTGATGAAGCTAATTCATTAGATGCTATATATTTTGTTTGACAATTATGGTTTTCCTTCCTCGAGACATTTGAAGGTAAAATGTTATCAATCTTCAAGCTCAGATTGAATCAGTAGAAAAATGTTTTGTAATGACTTGCTGAGCTAATTAAACAAAATTACGTAGTGCTGTTGACACAGGAAAAGATAATGCACCCTGGTTCTAGCTGATAATGATATTTTTTCTTTTAATAATTTCCTGTCAGAGTTGGTCGATCTTTTTAGAGACTTTGTTATATGCCTCAATAGATGTGATAGATTCAGTCTTTGCCGTATATACGAAAAAAAGTTAAATTGTATGTGAAAATGAGGCTGTCTTAAAAAGTATTTCCAGTGAAAAGATATATACATATATATATATATATATATATATATATACTTGTTTAATATGAGGTTTGACTTGCTGTATTAAAGAAGCATGGTTTTAAATAGGTTGTTATTCCAATCTTTTCCTTTGAGAAATTAGACAATTAATTCTGATTGCTATCTTTTGTTTACGTTATTTTGTTGGTTTTTAGGCTTTAGCATGACGTACTTCTGGTTTTTTCCTAAGTAGTTATTACACCCTTTGTTCTTTGTATTTGAGCGTGCTCTTACTGTGGTGATGAATGCAATTGGCTGCATGGTTTCAGGTCACATTGGCTAAGGACTATTTGTCTCTAAGCTATGGTTCTTGACAGCGTTGTATCTTCTCCCCATCGGAGGTCAGGATCAATGAGGAAGCAATTCCTAAAAGATGAGTTGGGTAGCTGGTCAACACTTGTTCAGAGGCATAGATTCCTCTTAACAGCTTTGGGACTCTTAGCATTCCTATGTACCATCTACCTTTACTTTGCTGTTACTTTAGGGACCACGGATACATGTTCTGGGTTGAAAGGAACACAGAAAGCAACGTGTAAACTGCAGCATGCAAGGTCGACTCTGTCCCATGGAAAACTGAAATTCATTTAGCATGTTTATACCAAATTAATAGTTGCTTTTATTATTATAATATTCATTTTTAGGCCATTTGAGGGTATTTAAATTTGAAAAAAATGCAATTCATTTATTGTAGATTATTTTGTGTTGGTATGCTTGTTGGTGTTCATATACAGTGTTTAATCTGTGCAGCAGAAATTGTCATTCTAAGTTAATTGTAATGAATTAATCTTATGAAGAAGCTAATTTTCCAAATGTTGAAGATGCTGACAATGCGGTTGTTTTAAACTTTTGAAGTTGGTAAGAAATGCTTTTATCTTTCATGCATTAAGATTGTGATGCAAACTATTTTGAAGTTGCAATACCTTTATCAATAATCTGTTGAAAATTTTATGTATTACAAATTTTGAAGTTGCAATACTCAGCTTTTGTGTTTGCTAGGGATGTTAATATTATTCATACCCAATTAAAATTTACTTTTTACCTAGATGAATATTATATTATAGGTATGCAAATGGATATAATTTTAAATTTTTATTGGATGAAAAAAGATAATATAATACACTCTATATATATTTATAAAAATTTCCTAAATATACAAAATAAAAAAAACTAAAAATTTGATTATTTATTTATTTTAAAGCTATGAGTATTAAATTATCCATATTTATTAAATACATATGAGAATAAGGATAAAAATAAATTTAAAATACTCATTAAATATGAATATAAAATGAGTATAATATAAAAATCTAAAGATAAAGATAAAAAAATGCTCTGCCTTTCCAATACTTTAACCATTAACATCCTAAGTATTTGTATAACACAGATAATGATGAACCAAATCAAAGAACATAAAGGATATTTTTATTTCACTTGGCATATATATCAAGCAGGAAAAGTCTGTTTATTTAGAAGAACTAGAACAAGAGTTTTCTGTTCTCCAACCAGCAGGAATCAAGGAACGTGACCAATCTGTACAATCACAATTCATAACCCTCGAGTTCATCAATCTGCTCTTTGGATGTATGATACTCCAAATAAGTTTAGTGTTAAATTTAAATCATTTACTTATAAAATGGTAAATGTATACTTTACCCCCAAAAAACTAAGAATGAGAATATAAAACTAGCACTAAAGCAATGCAAACAACAAATTTTGCATGCTGGCCTTTGGTCCTAACAAGTGAAAAACAATAAAATAGTGACAAGAATGATTCATTTAGAATAAACATGTCCCCTCACAATCTTCTTAGCAGTCTTTGCCTGTTATAGAGACAAAATAATTTGAAAATCATTAACAAATTGAATAGATATTGATACGCATTACAAAAATGATGGCATACAAATTGTTCATGTTCTTTCCACAGTAACAGTCAGATTAACACAAGGCCAAGGGTGAACAACTCATCAAAGAGAGTCTTTTACCTTCTTGTGGAAAACAGGCTTTGTTTGTCCACCTTAACCTGATTGTTTGCGATCATAACGACGCTTTCCTTGTGCAGCAAGACTATCCTTCCCTTTTTGTACTGGGTGACTTTCTGCAAAGTGTGCTTCTTGCACTCCTTACTCTTACAGTAGGTCTTCTTTGTCTTAGGAACGTTCACCTGCAATACAGAGGTTTTAATTTCTCTCACACAAAGCTATCAATAAAATGACAATTTTGTCATCTCCAAAGCAGTGCTCTTGGAACAACTTCAATGAAATGCAAAATATGGTTGTTAATTTCGAACATATGAAACAAAATATTAATCGTTTGCAACATCTGATGACTAACCCAAACACTAATACAACACTTCCACCTAAATTCATAAAAACCGTTTGACTAAAGGTCACTGTTATCTCAAAGAGTTCTACTTTTCATTGGCCCCAACTAGCTGTCGGGAATTACCAGTTTCGCTCTTCTTAAGCAAAACAGAAAAAAATTGAACTACCAAGAATATTAAAATCGGGTTATAGACTTATAGCCTAAGCCACTTATCCCATAACAAATCACCTCAAGCATTGCGAAATAGCAGCACTTAAAAATCGACACTTTTTCAGATTATACTCGAAACAAATAAAAACCTGAGATAAAATACTTCTAAGAATCGGCTTCTCAACTCTTATTAATCAAATTGACAAGTGCGTTACATCATCAAAGAATTCAAGCCCAACTCACTAGGAACAAAAAAAAATTTCAAATTTAATCTCTCATCTTAACGTTCTTACCGTGCCAATGATTTAAGGGATAAAAAAAGATGAGAGATATAGAGATGATACCATTGTGGAAAATGATGGAAGAGAAACCAGAGCTCTGCACTGCACTGTTACAGAAAAGAAAAAGGAATGAGAACACCCTTTGAGGAAAGTTAGGGTTAGGGTTTTTATGTTGCACTCGGAGCCGGGTTCAACAAATGGATCCAGTTAATAATCGAGTCGGTGGAAGGATCCGATTCCAAAATTGTAACAGGCCTAATCCTTTACCCCACATGGACCACGAGCCGGCCTTCAATTTCCCTTTTTTCAGTTCAAATCACGCTTATCTCACCTGCACGCGCGCGGTTTTGGAAAATTTTCGAAATCTAAAATCACTAAAGATGAAAAACAAAAACATTTCGTTTCTGCTTAGCCCGCGCCAAAAGGAGCCCGATCACACGGATCGATTCTCTTAGCCGTCCGATTAAAATTAACATCCAACGGCTAAAAACCAAACTATCTCACTCTATAAATAAACCAGGTTCCTCTTCTTTCGTTCATCACAATTCAATCACGGCTTTCTTCTTTTTCAAAAAACTTTATAAAAGATGTCAGGTCGTGGAAAGGGAGGCAAAGGATTGGGAAAGGGAGGAGCGAAGAGACACAGGAAGGTTTTGAGAGACAACATCCAGGGGATCACGAAGCCGGCGATTCGAAGGTTAGCACGAAGGGGTGGTGTGAAGAGGATTAGCGGTCTGATTTATGAGGAAACGCGAGGCGTTCTGAAGATTTTCCTCGAAAATGTGATCCGCGATGCGGTTACTTACACCGAGCACGCCAGGAGAAAGACGGTTACTGCTATGGATGTGGTTTATGCTTTGAAAAGACAAGGCCGAACTCTTTACGGTTTTGGCGGTTAGGGCCTCATTTTAAGAAATCTGGATTTAGATCTCGTTGGTGTTCTGTTTTTGATGATGTAATGGGAGTTAAATTTTAATGGAAAACTTTTACGTTTGAACTTTGGATGGTTGATATTCCCATTTCCTTGCTGTTTGGTTTCGAGGAAAAAATGTGGAAGACAGTGAAAATGAAATGGTTTTTCGTTTCATTGGTCAGTTTTCCTGCTCAAAATGGTTATTAATTGTTAGTATGTGGTAGGAGTAACTACCTGATTGGAACCCAAATTTTAGTTATTTTTCAAGATTAATTCTAATGGAGTACTTCATTTAGAAAAAAAAAAAAAACACTAATACAGTAAGGAAAACCCATTTAAAAAATATATATATACGTTTTTTTTATTTCGAATTTGTTTTTATGTTTTTTAATTTTATGATAATTAAATTATAAATTTTTTAATAAGTTTGACTCTACTTTAAATCCTAAACAATAAAAGTTGTTTTTTTTAACTTTATGATAATATAATCATAAATTATTTAGGTTGTTTTTGTAGTCATTTTTAATAGGTGGTATTTAATAGATTTAAAATTATAATATATGTATTTTTATGCAAAAATAATATTTGTTAAATAAGATTAATGAGTTACTATTCCTACTTATGTTTGGTCGTTATCACAATTCCAAACACCAAGCATTGATGAGGGGGAATATAGGGTTATGTTATTTAATTACTAAAATAAATCTAGTAAATTAGTACTCTTTTTTAATAAAATGATTGATAAAATAATATCTCAAAATATTACTCATTAAAATTTAAATCAATTACCGTTTGTTTATAAATATTTAAAAGATAAAAATTCAAAACATAAGTATAATCTCTTGTTATTTGTCAATTTAATTGATGTTTTAATATATTTGATAATTTTAAATTTGACACAAAAATAATATAAAAAATATAAAATTGATATGATTTTAAAATTAAAAAATATATATGAATTTAATAAAAATAAAAATATATGTTTTGTAGTTAAAGATTCAACTCTTTAAAGAAATAAAATAAAATTGTAAAATGAGAAAAGAATTACCTCTATTTTATAACCTGCAATCATTAATAAAAAAAAAAAATAACGGATCAAATATGATTACCAAACTGGTTAACGATGGCCCAGGCTCAATTTGGTGGTTGTTGTAGGCCGGTGACAAGTAGACCTCATTTAGGCCTTTTAACAAGCATGACTTCTATGGGCCTTTCCACGTAACCAACAAGTTTTCTTCGTTATCTAAGTACTATTTTTTCATTGCATTTACGGGCCAAGTTGCAAGTAGCAGTCGGGTGGCACTAGGCAGGCAAAGTCTCATGGTTCTTGGTCGTGAATCTTTACATAGATTGCGTGTTATATTCGGTTTTAGAATATATGTTTATATCAGTTTCAATTTGTAACGTATATTTGATAAATAAAATCACGAAATCTAATGAATTGAAACGAATAATATCTTATTAGTAAGTGTGGATTATAACATTTAATATTAGAACAGATTTTGAAATATTAATGATGTACTATTAAAGAATGTGAGTTCTCGTTTGAGTGTGAAAAGATATTATAATTTTAAAGAATAATAATAAATCTCACATTTGTTATGTATTAGAGTCGCTCTTAAAATATAAGTATTTATATCACTTTTTAACTTATAAGATGCTTTTTATAGAATAAAATCATAAAGTGTAATAGGTTGAAACGGATAATATTTTACAAATTAATGTGGACTATAGCATTTGGTATAATAGTTGGCTCTAGGGATATTAGCGATGTGCTATTGAGGACGTTAAACTCTTGTTGGAATGAAGAAAAATATCATAATTATAAAGAGAGGTAATAAATCTCACATTAACTCTATATTAAAGTCTGTCTTGTGATACAAAGTATTCACACTATTTTAATTTGTAATACCTTTTTTTATAAATAAAATTGTGAAACCTAATGAGTCGAAGTAAATAATATTTTATAAGTTAGCGTGCATCATAACATAAAGCCATAAACTCTTGACCATTACTATATGAGTCGAGTTTGTAAGTTTTTAGTTGAACAAAAAACCAACTTAATTAGTAGGACAAGGGTAAATCCTAATAAAAGTAATGATGATAAAATAATCAATATCCAATAAGTTTTAACTCATTTTGATTCGATAGGATCGAATTTTTTTTAAATTGGACGTAGGGTGCGATTTTTTCTCTAAGGTTGGGTTTGTGTCGGAGTCGTGTTTTAAGTGGCACCACTACAATCGAATACATATAAAAATATATTATTTATTTATATATATATTATACTAATAAAATTATCATTTAATATTTTAATTTAAAAATATTAACTTAATAAAAAATACTACATTTATGCATAATTAAAATATAATTTATAATAAAAATAATATTTTATAAATATTATATTAAGTTTAAATTATTAAATTAATTTTAGATCGAGTTGAGCCAATTACAATGTATGAATATATGAATATAGTTGGATAATATTTTAATATCAAATAAGATTTAAATATAAATATTAAGAAATTGGATCAAAGTTGGATAAAGCAAAAATTTATCCCAATTTGATTCGTTGTCATTTTTAAATAAAACACTAGTTTTTCCTTTATATGTGAAATTTTTCTCTATTGAAAAAAAATGGGTTACATTAAACGAATTTAAAATTATTTTTTTATGTAAAACTAATGTTTTAACATATTGTAATACTTTTTATTTTTTAACGAATGAATCAACATATTATATTTGTCTTTTTAAACATTTATAATTTGTCACACAAAAATTCTAAATATTCGCCAGGCATGGCAAACAAGTAGTGTTTTCCCAGGAGAATTTTTTTATTATAATTGTTCTAATACAATTTTTGCGGGTTAAAATAATAAATAATTTTTAAAATTTATCATTTATTTAAATAAATTTTTATATTTTTATTATATCTAAATAAGTGTTAAAATTTTAATTTCATTCTAAATAAGTTCTTAACCATTTATTTGTATCCAAATAATCTTTTACTTTTAATTTATACTTAAATAAACTTTTACTATAAATCAATTTTTTTTGTTTGAAATAAGCATTTATTTAGATATAAATTAAAAGATAAAAACTTATTTAAATAAAATCAAAATATATGAATTTCTTTAAAAAAGTGGAATGGCACTTAGGACATATTTGGTGTATAAAATAATGATAGAATAAGATAATAATTATCTTATATTATATTTGATTTATATTTTAAAATAAGGATAGTGGATAAAATTATAAGGAGAATTGAATAATCCTTTATTAAAAGAATGATTAATCCTTCTAAAGTAGAGAGAATTATTTTTAATCCATTTAATTAAACTTACATGTCCTATTATATTATTAAAAATTACATCAATAATATAAATTGTATAAACTTTAAAGAAGAATAATTTTGATTAATAAATAAATTATTTTATCATAATCTTTGTACACATCAAATATAAGATAAGATGATATTATTTAATTTAATTTTGTTCATAATATCATATTATCATATCCTATTATAATTTTATATACTAAATACATACATTAATTAAGTGTCAATTATTGCATTTGGTATTATTATATATAGTATCTTAATTAATCTTACTTAGAATAATCATAAGCAAAACTCAAAATCCTTCAACATAATATCTTAACTAATCTTACTTAGAGTAGTTATCAGCAAAACCCAAAATCTAAAACTTCATGGCCCTATTAGCATATGATATATAATATGATTCGTAGAAGTACCTTAATTAGAAAAGAAAATTGATAAGCGATATCAAAATTTTACCTCTCATTAAGATATGGTAGATGAAGAAACCCTTTGAAAATGAGGGTTGTTTTGGATGACCTTGACCAATGATTATAGTTAATTAATTAGAAATAAGAAAAAAAATAAAAATTGATTTGATATTTAATGTTCAATTTATTTTTTTATATTATTTAAATTAAATTCTAATATTAAATGTGCAAATTAAATTTAATTGAAAAGTAAAAATTTTTAAAAATTGAATTGAACCAATTTTATGTTTTTATTAGTTATATATATTTTTTAAAATTTTATAAAATAAATTTTATATTTTTATATCAAATTATATGTAAATGTATTAAAATTTTATATTAAAATAATATAAAAATTTAAATTTAAAATATTAATAAATCAAATCAAATCAATAAAATACATTCAATTTAAATTAACTCATATAAAAATTAATTCGAATTTAAATTTAAATTTAAATTTTATAATATTATATAATATAAAAAAATCAAATCAAATCCGATTTAATTTATACTGTTATCAGCCCTTACAATTAATAGGGTCGGATAAGGTTTGAATCATGATTCATGCACGCACGCGGTTGTTTGGAATAAGCCGAAAACGTGAAAAGGCAAATATAACGCGCATTTGAAATGCTGTGCCTAATATAGTAAGAGTAAATAATTCTTGAGAGTTTCCAAATTGGTTTTGGGATCATATTGAAGTCTACAATTTCTTAATTGGCTGCATTAATAACAACAACTGAAAACGATAGGTGACGAAAGCAATCTCTGAGTTTTCAAAGTGGAAGAAAGAAAGAAATAAAGAAAGTTTCTTTGGTAGGAGAACTGAAAAAAGAAAAATCGACTTTGTGGTTTTTCTTCAACAAAAAAAAAAAAAAAAAACTCAAAATTTAGAAAATAATGGAAAATAAAAATTTAGTTACGTTAAAATTTAACTTTTAAAAAAATGAATGAAATATTTAAATTAAATATCAGATTCGTGTTTTTAAATTTTTTATGAATTTAATATTTTCGTTAAATAATTTTAGTAACACTTCTTCATCAAATTGATATATTTAAAATTTTATTTTCCATATATTTTTCATAATAATTAAACCATAAATTTGAGTTGATGTTCATAAATAAAAATTTTAGTACTTACGAAACATAGTTATTAATATGTGTTCTAGGTCAAATATGTATGTGACACGCATTTGCATTTTAAGTTGTTGGGTTAATTAATTAGTACACCTAACATTAATATTAAAAACAAAATATGCTTTCGTTGTCTAATTTAAAAATTAATGCTACACATGGTTTGGTTGATTTGTCAACGAAACATGTGAGGATCGATCATCGCCAACTCTTATAAATTGTTTGGGTACATACGATTCCAGCATAAACATCAACCAAGGAGAATAATCTTCTTGCATTAGGTGAACTAGTAAGGTTAGGATTAAAAAAAAAATGGATGACCAACATTTGAAGCAAGCCAATCTGCAGAAATTTTATAACTTGATTGATAAAGTATAATTTCATACGAAAGTAAGATACATTAAATTAAAAATAACTTAATCTTATCCAACCTGAATGTAGTAGCAAACAAGATTTGACTCGATTTTAATTTATTAATTTAAAATTTAAATCAAAATTTAATCTAATTTAAATTATTATAACTTAATTTTTAATTGGTAAAATTATCCTCTACGTAATAGGGATAAAGAAAAAATCTCAAAGTTTACAATCATGTTGATGCAATGAATGAATTTTTGATGAATTTAAAGTCGGCAAAATCCAAGTACTACAAATCCAACAAAGCTGCCTTCAAATGAAGACAAGGATCCTAATTGCGCTGAATGCAAACTTTCCTTGGCAATAAATTTTTCACGAGCCATGTCATGATTGCCTTTGGAATTAAATTTTTTTTTCGCATCAATCAAAGTCTTCCATTAATGAGTTTCGTCCTAAGTTTCAAAACAAAAAACCAAACTCTTGTTTGTTTTCGTGCGCAAACGACATTGGCATTAAATGAGTGCAAGCAGAAATGGTTGACAGATGGCGAATCATTTCAAAGGAAAACATTAAATGCAAATGGGGTGCTTGAATAACTGTCCACAGTCGTTATGAAGGCGACATGGAGATTCAAACTGCATTAAATTTTTCGATGTAGACTTTGCCTTTTTAATGCAACGATAATCATTATTTTTTGTTTGAATTCCTTCAATTATTCCACTATTTTTACTTTTACTTGGCAACCTTTTTTGCTTGGTTGTAGCTTATTCTATCAAGAACTAAAAATTGAAAGTGATCCAACAATCAGGTTTGTTTTAGTGTTAAGGAAATTTAAGTTTCGAATTCAAGTCTTATCATATGTAATTTGGATTTAATTATATATCTTTATTATTATTAGAAATGTTAGACCCACAGTCTTATCCTCCATTCAATTAACAATGATAATAACAGCTATCAAGCCCAAATAAACATGATCTTGTGTTCTAATCCATCCAATATATAGCTAAATTAAGCAGAATCCACATGAAATAAACAAATTGTACTTCCCTTTTGTAATGCTAATATTGGTTAAAAGCAGAACTGAGTGTAAAAACAAGAGACCTGAAAAAACAGCAGATTGTCACGTATAAATAATAGCGACCTATTTTTTGCTGTGTAAAAACTACTGCAACTGAAGTAAGTTTTGGTGTTGCGTTTTGTTTCTCACAATGAACAAGTGACTCCCAAGCATCAATTAGGGAAGAAACAAGAGTGTGAGATATGTAATATATATAATAAGATCATGAGGTGTTAAAATTCTGTATTTCCCAAATACACTTAAAATTAAACTAGGAAAATATATGTGATATCATCATCAATGATCCCCTATGCTGAAAGTAACCAGAAATCTAAACCTATATTTTTCAATTTACAAGAATCAAAATATTTGCAGGACTGGAAGGGAAAGCGACTCTATGTTGCGTTATAGAGTTACAATTTATATCTAACCAATGTTTGAAAAGAAAGAGAAAAGGATTAAAATGATGCATTGAGATCAATCCTAGGCTTCTTCACTGCCAAGGCAGATGGAACAAAAGAATTGCAGCGAGGGCACCTAGGATTTGTCATGGAAGCTATCACATATTGCAAGCAACCAGGGCAGGCAGCTGCAAACACTCCTGCTGTTGATGAAGATGTTGCAGGACGCAATGAAGGTGGTGATAATGAACGTTTTTTCATGGTTTCTTTTTCTGCTCTTTCCAGGGCGTATTTGACCTTGTCAAGAGTGCAGACACTTTGGTAACGGCTTGGAGTTGAAGACTGCAGCATTAAGTCCAGGGAAGTCACGTCTTCAAAGAAGTTAATTGGGGGGAAGTTCAAGTCTTGAAGCTTGGAATCTTGAATCGAATTTGGTAACTGATTCTTGTTCTTTCCATCTGGAGAAGAAGATGCTGATGCTGATAATGGCGACTTTGGTGATGAGCTGCATCTTTGGGTCTGTACTTTCCCTGGCTGCATGGTATAAGGAACGGTATAGAACCAAAAATTGGTTAGATCATGAACTACAGAGAAGAAAACTTCTATAAATAAGCAGATTAAAGAACCACAGGTTAGGCTAAATCAGAAGATGTCAGATGTTTCATAAAAAACAAAGATTAAATTTTGGTTAAAGAATTATCTCTGTATTAAATACTCTGTTATTAATTCAATATTAATAAATTGACCTTAAAAGCTAATATGGGTTATACAGCAAATTAATTGTGACTGAAACTACACGACCGGAGAGAGTTAAATAGACATAGATAAGTTGTTGCGAGTTGCAACAGGAGAAAGATATGAATCTGAATTTCACCTTAAATTCAAGATCTATCTCTTTGGTTGCAGCAGCTTTTGACAAACTTCCCAGCAAGTCTTTTGTAATCAATATATCAGAATTCCCAGCATGAATCTGAGGCTGTTCTTCCATGTGTCCACTCAATACTCTCACCAATGAACTACTAACTTCTGCTGCCATGTCTAGCCTTCTTCACCGACAGTTCCCAACAGCACAAAAATGGGAGAGACTTGAAGGGAAGAAAGAGAAAATGGAGAGATAATTGAAAGCAAACCAAAGTTTATAAGAGTAAATAACAGTCTACTTCAAGAAAGTTATCGTCCAATTGTCTAACAATAAAAATCGTGTGACTGTACTATGAATGTGAATGATGCTGAATTGTAATGCCATTTTTGGATGATATGACCATATCATCCTCGTGTGACTTAGTTAATTACTGTGATTTATTACATTGATAAGGATGACATGGACTTCTCAACAATCTTCAATTAATTGGTAGATAGAAATCAAAGAATGAAGAAAAATTGGAGAGCAGACATTAATGGCGGCATTTAATGCTTTTTGTATCCTTTTGTCTAAGACAAGAGGCTGCCACTGCCCCGTCCGTGAGGGAAGTTTCAGGTTTTGCCCATAATAAACGTTTAGACAGATTTTATACTTTTACGACTGTCACGGGTAGGCGCATAAAGTACGCAACCATTAAACGCCTTCAATCTAGGCCATTGATTAAGTAATGGAGATTCAAGATGCCATTCAAAGCCAGACTCTTTTGTCAAATTCAAAACTTATAACTAACTGTGTTGAATTCTCATTAAATCATATAATATTTTATGTTTTTGTGGCTAGGTTTAAATGAATGCCACATCTGAAAACATTAAAATTTGTATTTAATGATTTTACGTCATGAAATTTCTCATTAACTTTCGTCTAGATTCAATTATTTAATTTCTTAATAAGGGTATAATTTAAAGTTTCATCAGAATTTAATTTGATTTTGTTTTGAATTTATTTAATTATGCATTTATTTATTGCTTGATTGGTTTATATGATTTAATTAAGTAAATTTTATATGAATATAATATTTATAATAAAAGTATTAGAAATGATAACGGTTTGATTTTCGATTCAATTTTTTTTAATTATTGTATAATATTATAAAAATTTAAAATTCGATCCGAATTCGAATTTTCATTCGATTCGAATTAAACCAAAATTTATAGGTTTGGTTCAATTTAATTTATCGATTTTTAATTTTAAAATTTTTATGTATTATTGTGATATAAAATTTTAATATATTTAAGTAAATTTTGATATAAAATTATTATTTTTATGTTGTAAAATTTTAAATATATATAAGTTAAGAAAATTATATAATTGGGTTTGTTTTGATTTTTTGTTTTTTTAATTTTTTGATCTAAAATTTGATCTGAACCTAAGATATACATTTAATATCTAAACTTCATCTGAATCGAATAAGAAAAAAATCGATTCAAACCGAATCAAACATTATAATTTCAAATCAATTTTCAGATTTTTCGATTTTTTCTCACTCCTTAAAAGTGTTTCATTCACCGATTCTTATTTATTTTATTTATTTAACATGTAATTGTTAAATTATTTAATATTTTTGTTAAATTATTTAAGTAAAAGTATTTTAAATTTTATTACATTTATAATATATGTAATAATAAATTTTATATTTAATCGTAAAATTGTTTCATAATATTTTTCTAATACAAATAGCATTTTTAATTTTAAAAAAGTTATTTTTGTTAAAACTAAAGAATTTTAATTATTTTTCATATTTTCAACAAAGATTCGTTTTTTATTTTAAAAATATTGTTTCTGTTAAATTTTAAATTTTGTTTTTCATATTTTCAATAAAAATTGTGTTATTTTTATCTTAAAAGGGTTGTTTTGTTTAATTTTGAAAGATATTTTTTTCATAATATATTTCAAACAAAAATCGCATTTTTATCTTAAATGTTTTTAAGATATAAAATTATAAAAAAAATCTAAAATTATTATATTTTTAAGATAACTAATGTTGTATATGTAGTTTGAAAATATAACTAAGGGTAAATAAGATAAAACATTCACTTTCTTTTCGGAATATAAAAATCTCAAAAAGAGAAAAGTTTTCATTCCCTTGCATCTCCATTTTTTACACTATTGCCGTTGTAAGATTCCGAATACATGTTTCTGAACCAAATTAAATAATCATAAAATGAAAAATTAAATTTCGAAAAAAAAAAAATTCACGAGCCAAACTCTTTAATTGTAATTTTTTTATATTATTTAATTTTATTAGTTCATGCAATCAAGAGTAAATGTTAAAAAGCTTTAAAATTTAAAACTCATTACCTACAATATTTTCTTATATCTCTAGATTGTGAAATTCTTTATAAAAAACCAAATAATGTTCAACTTTTATGAGATTTTAACACTTCAACTTGTTGACAAAGTCGTCAATCTTAGTATGTCAGGGAGCATTGCCAGCTTAATATAAATTTTTTTCTATAATATTCTCTCTCTCTCTTTTTTTTTTTTTTTAATAATTTACGAAAGAGTGGAGTGGAATACCACTTACATTCTTAAGACCATGGGTCGTGTTACCCCTAAAATATCCTCCTGCATCAACTTAACAACTCCTAATGGAGGGAGGGTCAGTTAAAACATACTGACGAAGAGCAAAAACCCGACTAGTCATATAATCAGCACAAAAGTTTCTCTCTCTAAAAATATGTTGAAGCATGCAGTCTCAATCTCTACGGAGAAATTGTTAACATTGATGAATTACACAATAGCAAGGATCTGTCATTCAAACATTGTTCTTAATCTTATTCACTGTTAATTGGGCATCTGATTCAATAATCAGTCGTTGAAACTTTCTATCCCAAGCTAATATCAGTCCCATTTGAATAGCATACATCGCAGCTCTCAAAATCGAATCATCTTCGATTTTCCTTGCAAATCCAAACAACCAATATCCATTAAAGTCTCTCACAATGCCTCTTATAGCTAACTCATCTGGATTAGATGATGATGTGCTATCCACATTAATTTTCTTTATGACGGATGGAGGAGGTTTTCAAGAAATATTATAGTACTAACCGTGTTGTATATCTATTACTGGTACTGGTATTAAACTTTGTTCAAAAGAATTTTGTCTGGGGGTCTTTTGTAGTATGAATAATAGAACTACAATCCGTACAGCCACAAGTCAAACAATTACCAAATGATCCAGTGGGCTCGTGAAAATGGAGAACCTAAGGCCTAATAAGTTGTCAGAAATTTTTCTGCTGTTGTTGGGTCGGATAAAGCAGATAAAGTACGAACCCACACAAGTCGACAGGGCATGTCAGTGGGACTGGGCTCTCAATAAGGTCAGAAAAAAGTAGGCCACCTTTTCAATGTCTGTAGGCTCCCACATCATGGCCGTTCGTACCAACTGATCCCATTTCTCTTCAGTCCTCACCGAATTTTTCCTCTTCCTCGTGGTCGTGGTGGGTCATGCAGAAGGAATTGTTGGAACTTGGAACTGTTGAGTAACAACCGGTTCCTTGTTCCTTAAAATTGAAGGAGGTTTGAATTAGCTTTTAGCCTAGACCAGATCAAACCAGACTGGTGGCCAATAGATTTATCTTCACTGTTATTATTTTTGGTAAGTAAAATTTTATTATTTGAGAAGTAGGATCACAAGGAAACCTGAGAATTAGTAACAAAAGAACCAAATTAGTACTTTTGCTGTTAGTATATGTAAAAAAATTGGGTTTTTCTAGAGCTAATAAAATTGGCTTGAGCGTGCAAAACTTGTACCATTCCGAATTAAGTTGATTATTTGATTAAGAAAAAGTAATAAATTAAACTCAAATTTAAAATGATTTAAATTTGAATAATTTAAAAATTTTATCCAAAATTAAATTAAGTTAGTTTTAAAATTAAATAATTTTAATATATGATTATCCTAATTCAAATAATTTCTGCATCAAACAAAAAATTTCAAAATCAAAATAATTTAAATATAAAATAACTCATAATTTATTTTCAATCCAAAAATTATTCGACCCAAAACCTCGTCCGTCCAGTGATTCATAGCAATAGTAGGGACTTGGATTCTAATTCATTTCGCATAAGTATGGAGGAGCCATGTACCCAATTTTTACTACATATTTACAATCAATCATCATCTTTACCATGATGCAGATATCAGGTTTTAAATTTTTAATCTATAATTTCAAAATAATTGAAAGAAATGAAGACTGCAAAAATGAATCCTAATTAGTTAATGTTTCAATTTTCAATAGTTAATTTTTTTTTTTCATTTTTTTAACATAAAATTGACTTATTAGGAGAATGATGGATGATGTGACGACAGAAAATATGCAAATCATAAATTATTGTAATCCTTTTATCTTATTTTTTTTTTTTTTATGTCTAAAAATTATAACTTTTTTTTAATATTTAAAATTTTTTATTTTAAAATGATTTTTTATATTTTTATTTTTTATTTTTTGATATTAAAAATCATGAAATTCTAATTTTATAAAAAATTTAAAATTTAAAATTTAAAATTTAATATTAAACATATTAAAATCAAAAAAGAATTTTTAAAAATTTTACAAAAATTAATACATGATAAATATTTTGATACATAGAAAGTAATTATCTTTTGCATAGATATGAGTTGGGGCTTCTAAAAAATTCACTAATACCAATGTTAGTTCTAGAACTTGACAGCTAAAATAAATCAATTCGTGTAAACTTCGGAACCACGAAATTGAGAAAAAAAGAAAGTGTGGACTCACAACAGTTACAATAAGTGCTTGTTGGAGGAACTGGTCAAAGTGGGAGTTACACGAGCATCTCAAATTTCCTTAACATGCACATAAATTATTGGAATTATTACGAAGGTTCATCAGTCCATCGAAGAAATATGGCTTAATTATCAGATTAAAAGTCTCAATGAAAGCTACACTGATAGTACAAACGAAACTTCCTTCCAATCAGTTCTTCAAAGCTACTTGGTATTATAAAGAAAAAACACACAGACAAGTATGACTGGAAACATTTCCTGCAAGAAAATCAATGTACGATCGGTGCATTTGACCAACACTGGGTCAAGCAAATGAATTTCAACTGAACGTACGGCTGACGAAGTGAAAGTGTTCTACAATTACTCAATCAATTAGCCAATCGGCTTATGAGCCTCCTATAGCTTGTAAAATAAAGATAAAATTGCAGCATTGGGTTTATAATAAGGAAGAGAAGCAGCATCTGATAATTACAAAGAAAAATGCTGAGGCAATTTTCGAGAAGGAGAGCTTCTTACAGACGATTAAAGCATGTGCAGGATATAGACAACGCGAGGGATCAGGGTGAAGCTGTTCCTAAAGGGTATGTTCCAGTTATGGTTGGGACGGAGGAGAAAGATAGTGCAAAGTTTTTGATCCACATCGATATGTTCAAAAATGAATACTTTGCTGGATTGCTTGAGATGGTCGCTCAAGAGGTTGGCTATGAAAACCCCGGCATCCTTAGGATCCCATGCGATGCAGAATGTTTCAGAAACTTAATGAACGAGATTTCAAGGATCAAATAGTGCTACAGCTAGTTTTTTTTTTTTTTTTACCTTAAATTCTTTTCCCCTTCAGCACTGTTTTTCTTTGTTGCCCTTACTTTGCAGTCTACAGTGAGTTTCTGGTTCGGGCATTAATAAAACAAAGACTTGAGACAGTCTTTTTTTCTCCTTTTATTTACCAGCCGCACAAAATCATTACCAGGACTGAACCCAAGTCATTAGAATTAAGATTTCACTACTCTTCGGTAAACAATATATGAGCAATTAGTACATAGACAGGTACTTCAAGTTGTTCATGTTATAGTAATATCAACAAACTAAAATACCAATTACGTTTCCATGACCTTTCGGCACCAACTTAGCTGATCCTTCTTCCTTCAAAGGAGAAACAGAGGCGAGCAAGTTTTGTCTTTTGGGCTGACGTCTGACTGTTTTGTTCTTCTTTCATTTTTTTTGGGCTGACGCCCTTTGAGCCATTTTAGGCCTATATATTAATACAAAGTTTGCAACCTATTCCATCTGCTAATTTCTTTCAATTGATCGAAAGATTATAAGATGCCTAATCATCAAACTATTTCTTTAATACAGGGTTAAAATAAAGATCTCAAATTTGAACATCTTATAAACCTTTTTTTGGTTAATTTCATAATCCAAATCCAATATTTCCTTTATTGAGCTTTATTTATGTCTATTTAAATTTACATTATTTTCTTAATCTTTCTTAATTATTTTCTTTATTTGTGTCCAAGCGTAAAATTTTCTAAACTAAAACATGAAAAATAGACTTTTTCTCTTGAAATTAAGAAATAATTGATCTCTCAAATCTCAATTATCGACTCAATTTCCTATATTTATTTTTTTATTTTAAAATTATATAATTTAAAAGTTGATTATTAAAATTTAAAATTTAACACTTTATCAACAAATCTATAGCTTTTGATAGTTTCATAAATATTTCAGATAACTTAAATAACTTTATTTTCTCTATTTACCATTGAGAGTTGAGACATTAAGGTGCAACAATTAACCCCCAAAAAGAATAAGAAAGCAATGATATTTCTTGGTTTTTTACCTCGTAGTAAAGAAGAAGAAAGGATGAAGCACCAGCCAATTCAAATCCCTCGCACGTGCAAACGCCCCTCAAATGAATGAAATTATTATTATTTATTTGAAATAAAAGAACAAAATTAGTTGAACCGCAATTGAAACGCATTCATTAAAATCAAAACATAGTTGAACTTGAGTGGCCTTTGTGACCACAACATTAACTGCCCCAAAGCTATCTGCCTGCCCGCCGTTATGTATTCCATGGCACATGCTTTCAGGAAAAGACACCAATGTCTGTCCGCTTTAATAATCAGAAAAAAAAAAAGAAATAGTACACACATCTTTCACATTCGTACGGAAGATAACTTAAAAGTACGGAGCATTAACGTCTCTAATTATACAAAAATGTCAGACATTGTTTCTTTTTTTTTAACCCGAGGAAGATAAGTGGTATTGTTCATACAGCTATAAACTCACACGCACAAATTTATAGTTTGATTCGGTTAGAAATGTGATTACACTTACAATTAAGATACCAAAGTGGTAAAAAGGGTGAAAACTGGAATTCCAAACGGTGCCTGTTAAGAAATTCCGTACATGGCAGTTGTAATATTTGACTTTTGGATGGTGAAGTACAGTCCTTTTTTTGAAATTAAAAGCAACTCTTCTGGCAAATGGGCCTATTTTGGGTACCAAAAATGAAACCGGTTTCTTTATTCAGTTTCAAAGAGAGAGAGAAAAAAAAAAACAAAACCTAAATAAAAATAAAGACCGGAGAGTGAACCAGATTGATAATTATTTAAGTTTTAATTATAATTTTAAGGACTTCATACTATTTTAAGAAATTATGGTTCATTTTTCATATCATATGAAATTATGAGACATATAAAAGTATATAATATATATTTAATTTTGGAAAGAAAAACGAATCTGTTATTTGAACAAATATATATATCCATAAGTCAAATATTCGATTGCTTTTATTTAGAGATTTAGTAGGAAGAAACATTTATGGCAACTACTTTAGCTTCAGCAAATGAGAAAATAGATTCTTATAGTCTTGGAAAAAATATTATTCATCTCAGAAGTTAAAATTAATGAGTAAATCTCTAGTAATGAAGCTGTAATTGGGAAAAGAAAATGGAATATTAAAAAGTAGAAAAATGCTAATTTTCCCCTTGGCTACCGGCAAATTCCTCTCAAAACCATAACTAATTTTCTCATCTTTGCCCCAACATATATAAGAAAAAATTTCATCCAAATTGTCTAAACAAATAAATAAAAATTACAATGGAAACTACTTGCCTCTTTTTATTTATAATAATAATAGAATTTCACCCCAAAAAAAAAGTACTTTAATTTAAGAAAGCGAATTACTAATTTTCATTTTCGCTTTTTTTTTTTTTCTCAAACAACTGCTATTTTACAGAAACATAGTCTGCTTCTCCTTCATCACATTATGTACAAACGATAACAAGGATCTCAACTAACAAAAAATATCTTTTAAAAAAAAAAAAGAAAGGGGAAAAACAGTCTTTCTCTTTCTTTTTTTTTTTTAATTTTTTCCCTACATTTTCTTGGTAATTAACTAGAAAAGTTAATCAAGATTTGAAGGTTCTTGGCCTTGCCTGAGAGATTCAAGAACACGTTCAAACACAACGACGTTAATGGGAATCCTCAACACTCCCCTTTGCTCGTACCCGTACTCTTGGGCCGATCTGTTTAGCAACTCCACGAAGATCGGGTTCCGCAGCATCTCAGCACTGACGATGAACCTCCGCATTGACGTCTGATCAATCCCAACGTAAACCGGGAAATGTCCATGCGGTACGTCCGATCTTTGCTTGGTGGGTTCCACCGGAGGATCAGGCTGTTCAGATCGGAGCATTGAGTATTGGGTCGAGTGAGTAACCGTAACTCGTGACAGTCTCCGCATCAGTTTCTTCATCACCACCCTTAAAAGAACAAAAAGAAAGAAGGAAGAAAGCTGAGAGAATAAAAAAGTATTTCTAAAGAGAGATAACAATAAAAGAGTCTTATGGTACAAATGAGAGTACTTGAAAAGTGCATAAAGGATAAAGAGAGAGAAAACCAATCAATATTTTTAGGTGTGGTACATGCGTTATTTTTAAGAGAAAGTGATCGATGGCCACGATCTGTTCAAGGTCAGGTTATTCGTTTGCTTCGTGAATTGGATTTTCTTTTAGGTCTCTAAATCTTACGAATCAAGTCAGGCTTTTAGATAAAGCTTTTGAAAGATTAAACGAATTTTACTAGACCTGAATCATGATATGCATGATTTCTCGTGCTAATATTGGAAATTTGAAGCTAAATTAAACTTTTTAAAAAATAGGCTAATTACGTGTGGGGATATTAACTTCTTAGTTGAAGTTTTAATATCTAATATTTAAATTAATTTAAATTGGTATATGAAATCGTTATTTATTTATATATGTAAAAATATTAAATATAAAAATAACTTTTATATTTTATATTTTTATTATATTGATATCTAAAAAATTAAAATTGTTAATTCAATATTTAAATAAAATTTCGTCAAGCATTTTATCCTAAACTTAAATTCCACCAAAAAAAAAAAAAGACGACGTGAATTGATTGATGACCAATCATATACGTCATTCATTGTCATGTCGTATAAGAACCCACTGCCAAGTCATTAATTAAAAAAATATATAAAATATATGAAAAATTTTAAGAAATTGAAAAATTATAAATTTTTAGTTTTAAACATAAAAAATAAAACTAGAAAAAACAAGCATAGAGGGGAGAGAAAATGGGGGAAAGAGAAGAGGGCAGGGGATGGGAGGGGCGCGGCGTCAACTAGAGCAAGGGGAGGCAAAAAGGATGTAGAAGGAAAAGGGCTGGAAGTCTGCTGGAGGCAGATCCGATTAGGCGGAAACAGATCGGTCGAACCTATTTCAGATTAGCTAGATCCACCTCCTAGTGGGCTAGATGCTATCTGCGGCAGGCCATCGTTCCGCTTCCCTCTTCTCCCTTCCCCCTCCCACCTCCCCCCTCCCTCCTCCCCTTATTCCCTCATCCCCTTTCTCCCTGACTCCGATCTCTTTTACTTTTTTTAATTTTTAATTTTCTGTTTCAAAAAGAAGCAAAAAAAATTATATGAATTTTAAAATTTTAAAATTTTGAAATTAAAAAAAATAATATGACACGTCACATATTTTTATTGACCGAAATATGTCACATAAATATTTAATTAACGGTATTAGTCAAAATGTACATTTTGTAAATGAAATTGAATTTTTTTTTATAAAAAAAAAATTTATGATAGATAAATTGTTCAATTTTTTAAATTATGATAAGATATATTATATTTAATAATTTAAGATAAATAATTACAGATCGTGTATTCGAGATAATTTTAATAAATGATTATCAATAAAATTTGAATTCAATATCTTTTTCATCAAAAAAAATAAATTTAATCGATTAAATTAATCACTAAATTAAACTTTTAGTATTGAATTATGGATTTTTATTCTCAAAGTACCAAAGTGATAGAAGAAGCATAGTTTGGGGACTAAATGAGCATGTGGTTTTACGTAAAATATATAAAAATTTTATATTCGTGGTAGGTTTTGAGCCTTAACAAATAATATTTATTTTTTATTAATTAATAATAAATTTAAATTTTTGTTTATTTTATATTTTG